ATATTTGGTTCACTGTAAACAATATTGATCAGATCATTCATCTAATACACCGATATTTCCTTTTTGACTGATTTGCAGAGTGTATGTGCGTATATTCCAGTGATCATCTTCATTTTGACGAGTAATTTCTCGGAGGAATTCTTGTGGGAGTTTCTTCAAGATGACAGTAAGAGCAAGGATGAGTATATGTCCGGGTATGAACCAAGCGACTCAAGATTGCGCATATATGTCTCTATTTTGTTGATGTATACTCTTTAGTATACATTCTACATGTAACATTATATGGATATTATATGGAGATGGAAGATCCATCAGCTTCTGCATGTACACATTTGCATTTCAATACCTGTAATATCAACTTATTTGTCAGTAGTCTGTCTCGTTTTAAAATTTGAACGTACTCAAAATATGTTTTAGCATACCAAATCAGTGATGAGACATCAACATGATACATGTATGCAGGTGATATTGAAATATTACTATTGAAAGTTTTAGATGATAGTTGGCCATTTTCGTCTAAGGTCAATAAAACATTCATTTTATTATTACATGGATGATTTACTGACCATCGATGAAAATGGCTAACTACATAACTACAAATACGTGTATATATGAAAAAGATGTGGCTGACTCTGTGGTGCCTTTTATGTAGAGTTTACTGGGATACATAGAGTTAACAGATGATAGTTGTTCATTGATTGATAAAACGTCGTCGATATATTGAAATGCTGAATTGAAAGCCAAAGTAAGAAGACTAAGAACTTTCTTCTTCTCATGTTTAAGTTTTTGAATAAATTCTGCTACACTAGAATATAAAACTAGGTCGGCTGATCCAATTATTACATGTGCATGTCTTAAAATTCATTTTGGTGATAAGTTAAATTAATTCAAGATAGCTGTAAATATTTGAAACTAAGTGCAAATATTTGAATAAATTATATTAATTTGGCGTTACATATATTAGTGTTTTATATAGTTGATTTTTTTTCTTATTTCTTTTACATAACTGTCTTTATTTTTCGATTATTTATGCAAAATAGAAATTAAAATTCTATATAAGAATTAAATTTAATAATGCTTGACACTCTCATTTTGCTTTTAAATTGAGGGACATCGTAAAATTGCTGATATTCAGTTCTTTGAAAATAGGTTTTAATATTGCATATATTTTACGTTCAAAGTCAACTACAGGGCATATTTAATTACCTGACTTAAACATCAGAAAACTAAATCCCCAAATCTCTTTCAATGTACTCAAGAGACGTAAGTAAAAGAACAAAAGCAAATTTACTACACAAGTGTAGCTCCTTTGTAAGGAGAAAGTGAATGTGTATTCACCTGGAAAAAAAATCTGAGATCTGGGGTCATTGTCATAGAGCAGTTTTTAATTACTGCACCCTCTGCAGATTTTTAAATAGGTGTTAAATAAGAGGCTCGATATGGTAAGTGTACTGATAAATTGATTTTTTTTTGTATTGTTGATATCAGATATAATAGAGTACTTTTAATTAATAAATGAATTTATTTGAAAATAAATTAATTAATTTTATCAATGTTAATTTAGAAAAGACATTTTTTTCTCTAGCAAAAATTAAAACTAATCAATAACCTTGATATTTCGAATTTTAATTAAAATATTAAAAGTTACAAAGATGCACGACTTATGCCTGTGTGAACATATAAAGTAGCCCCTTACTTTGATATGCTAGTAATTATACCTTATAAAATCAATATAACTTTTTCCATTCATCGAACAATATTCAGCTTATTTCATATTAAAAAATTAAATTGGAAATATTAAATCAAATCGCGTTTCTACATTGATTTTTTTTTCATTTTATTTGAAATAAAGGGAGGGGGTCTAAATAAAGTGTTCCGCATAGCTTTAGAATGCTTAGATTTGTTGTTCATCTTAGTAAAGAATAAAAAGTTTTCATTTTTCAATTTGTAATTTATCTAAAAAAAACAGCTATGAAAATTCGCAAAAAATATTTATTTCTTATTTAAAATGTCAAACTCTCTCTCTCTCTCTTACTAAAATTGGGGATAAGATATACCGCGCCTCTGCATCCCTTGTTTTTAAATTCTTAATTTTATATGGTTAGATGGAAAATTATATATATTTAGTGCTTAAAACATGCTACAATTATCCGTGCAATACTAATTAGAATGCAATACTTAAATGGAAAGCTATTTAACATTTCTAATTTAAAATGCCCAATACATTTAAACAGTTTTAAAAAGTTTTCACCTTCTTTGTTACGATTTTAAATACACAATAAACGATTTTGAAAAGGGTATGGACCTGGATTATCCAAACAGAACAATGATATCAATACCTACTTCTACACCTATCTACCTGTGTTCGGTGAGATTTCTGCCCGTTATAAAATACGACAGGGCTTTAAGTTATTGAAAAGGAAATAGCTAAGTACGATTTAATTTTCTTATCGGTGTAATATATAATTGTGTTTATTTATTTGGAACTTGTATCTCCCAGTACGTTTAAATTTTACTAGTATTGGGAAAGTTGAATTAATTTTTCTGAACATTTTAAAGAAAATCTGATCAGGTAATGAAAAACTAGACAAGAAGATACAATTGATTAAAAAGGAATTATTTCTGGAAAATAGTTCGTTTGTCATTTATTCAATGCAGTCATTTCTTGGCTGGTGCATTTGTTTTCGCAATTAACAGATTCTCAACCTCTGCGTTTTTGTAAGAACTGATTTATGAAAACAATGGAAATGTTAACAATATAAAAGTTCATTAGTTAAATTTGGTTCAAACAGTGAAAATCATTAAACTATTAAATAATTATTTATGGTCATTTAACAGTGGCTCACTAATAATTTAAAAGGATTGGTCAACAATGGTTAAAACATTAGAAAATCAATAGAGTTGGAGCACTTAGAAAGTCACATTCATATTCTCTCTCTCTCAGACATTCATACTGAAACGAACATACAAGAGCATAATTTTTGAGTCCAAATATTGAACGAAAACGTGAAGTTTATTTAAACATAATTAAAAATTCCATTTCTTCCCATACTGTATCAATATGTTATTGCTGTGAACATTTTACCGATTAAGAAATATGTTATTGCTAATAATGCTGATATCTCTATCGTTTCCAAACTACGCTTTTTCGTTTCAGAAATGCGCCCTTATTTTTTCTTCTATGTGTTTTTGGTGACTTTTCCTGCCGTTCAATACCTTAGTGCGACCAACGCACTTAAAACATTCACAAAACGAATGACAAATCCCACTTTATGATGCATAAGTACCTCTCCTAAAGGTGCATTCATCAAAATTTAATCTGTCATCTTGTTTTCCCAAGTCACTGGCTCCGTTACAAAAATCAGCCAATTCCTTATCAAGAAATGAGATTACGTGTTCAGTTTATCTACAGGTACTTATAAAACCTGGTGATTCTGTCTGTATATAAAAGTCAGTGTATTTCATCAGGTTACGAGGGGTACTTCTGACAAACTTTGAGTAATCTAGGTAAAGGGCAAGTTTACTTTTTTTTTTTAAATGTTCCTTAAAAGGAACTCTTCGGGCTTAGAAGGGGTAATAGTAATTATGATCTTGACGCATTCTCTCCTTGTATTTTGCATCAAAATAATCGTGGTCATAAAAAATCTTTTCAATAATATCATTTACTACAAACTCTAATGAAACTTTTGTACGAACTTCAGAGGGTTCAATTATAGAAAAAAGGTGGTCAAAGTAGCGTGAAATAAAATGCCTTCATTGATCCATCGAAAGCAATCGATAGTTTGTAATTTTGAAACGAAGCATGAAAATTCCATTGTAAAAATGAATTACAATCCAACTTGTAGATTCTGATAAAAATTCAAATTATGGTTCTGAAATTAAAATGCACGCCGTTTTAAACCTAGAATGTTTTCAGACATATCATTCCGATATGGCTAAAATAATATTTAAATTATGTTTGAATTCATAACACTTTTTAAAATTTTATTTAACAAAAAGTTTAAGTAAACAGGGTTACTGCAGTGGTAAGCGCTGGTCTTTTATCACAAGCCTTAAGAAAAAACTAAAGCACCCAAACAGAGGATCAAGGCTGGTGAAATTCCAGACCAATTCTACTGCATGCAGGTATTATGTAAACATACCATACAAACTTATTACAATTTTAATAACATTTTCAGACAAGGTTTTCATAAAGATTTGGTGTCAAAAAAGAATATAAACCTAATCCATTTTCAATTCAAACATTTTAATTTATGTAAGGGGAGATAGTAAAAGTAATTACGAAACTTCAATGTGTATAGATATTACAGATTATCGTTCGATGTTTTTGTGTGTTCGTCCAATCCTCCCAGATGAAGTAGCTTGTTTAACAGAACTGGCTTTTATTAAACTTGTGTAAAAATCGATTGTTAAATAAGGGCATGATCATAAAGTTTTAAAACTATGTACTTCGCTATGAGATCATCCTTTCTATCCGATTTCAAAATCAATTCCATTAATAACACGTCACATTATATCATTGTACCATTCTCGGAGGATCCTAAACATTTACCATAGTATACATCATAGATCAATAGAGAAAAAGAAATCTTTATTGCCCAGCCCAAAGAGCTAATGCCTTAATTTAATTGAATTCCTGGAACAATTGAATATTTATCACGACTAACATTAAATTAAACATAAATATTTGCGATCCGTAATTCCGATACAGACCTTTTTTAACTTTCACAAATAAATATCATTTAAGCCAACGTTTAAATTTTTACATGTATTGCACTGGAACATTTAAGATCTACTATTAATGAAATAAATTGGTTCTTTAACTAACTTACTCTTGAAATTTTTTTCTTAAATCTCTTAAACGTAATCTTTGAAGTTATCTAACTTTTAGTTGCAATAGCTATGTAATTTCTACTGCCTTGAATTAATACAATTTATTACTTGAATTGCAGCCAAGGTTATAAAGAATAAATAATCCGTGGAAAGGAAATAATAGAAAAATGAATAAGACTTTCATGACGCTCAATAAACCAATACGCTACTGTAAGCAATGCAGTGTGTGTGAATGCGCCAAGTTCCGTGCTCGTAGACCGGAGATCTTGAAAAATCCAGTCGATTTGCCGAACACAGTGAGAGCGCACTTATCGGGTAAGGCTGGAAATGTGGTTAAATGCCCAGTGTGCTTAACAAGCATTATCATAGCAGCCGGGGACCCAGCAATAGACTACAAAAAAGCAGATCCTGAAATGGATGAATATGTTTTCCCCAGGCTGAGTTTCACATCAGAAAATGGTTATGTGAGTATTTGTCATTCGTGTGATACTGGGGAAGCGGAGGTTAAATGTATTGAGTGCAACCAGAAACTTTGTTTTGATTGTGTACGTTCACATTTACGAGCCAAAGCAACCAAACGTCACCATGTTACGGGTATCGTAGATCCAGACTCCACTCCGACTCTGTCGAGATCACCCTCCCCTCTAAGAGTTAACCCAAGAACTCGCACCCCGTCACCCATCAGGAATGGACGTGCTAGGTCTAAATCGCCTATCCGGAACGGTAGAGCGAGATCACCTTCCCCTATTCGAAACGGACGCAGTAGAACACCTTCGCCAACCAGGAATGTGAGTTTGAATCGCAGGAGGGGTCTTTCCCCTAAGAGGCACGACAGCACTAGAAGTGCTTCCCCCAAAAGAAGTACAAACAGCGATATGCCATTCGGATCATATTTTGCAGATTCGGGAGTAGAAGACTCGCTTTCTCCGATATCACCATTTGAAAGCTACTCATTTACTCCGAATCAACAAGTTACTTTCAACCCTAGGTTGTCACAACTGTCGATTGAAGATGCATATCAAAGAGGGAATTCTCCACGCCCCAACGAGAGAAAGCAATTTGATTACAATCCGGTGACAAATTCTTTCAGCAGCTGGAAAAACGACTTCAACCAGATCACCATGTTTGAGTTACCGAGCTTCGTCTTGGCAATGTGCGCAGGTTCCAGAGATCAGTGTTGGATAGCAGAGGCCAAGTCGTCCGCTATCCATTTGTACAATGTCGACGGAAAGCACGTAAAAAGCGTGGAAATCTACAACGAGGTACGGGATATGGTCGTCAACAAAGCAACTGACGAGCTTTTTGTCTCCTGTTTCCCTAGCAAGCATATCAAAGTTGTGAACTCTGTTGGTGAAGTCGACATTTTCGCTACATCTTCTCTTCATCCCGCTGGGATCAGCGTCAACAGCCATGGTGACGTCATTGTTTGTGCAGTGGAGGACTTGCGCCGACGCTACAAACCGGAACACAAAAACTGCTTGCAGGTGTACAGCAAAGAAGGTCGTCTGAAACGGGAAATAGAACGCGATATCAACGGAGACAAGATCTTTGCTTATCCCGAGTACATCGATATCAACATCAGTGGCGACATGATTGTATCCGACATTGAAAGAGAACACGTTGTCATACTCCATGGCGATGGCAAGGTCAAACTGATCTACAAAGGTCCCCCCAAAGGTACTTTAGATAAACCTTTTGACCCTCGTGACGTCAAATGTGATAAGGATGGGAACATAATAGTCTGCGACATCAACAACAACTCGCTTCATCTTCTGGACATCAACGGCGCCTTTATCCGCCTGCTTCTTTCAGAGGAAAATGGTCTCTACTGGCCCGACGTCGTTGCTATTGACAACCATGGTCACATTTGGGTCAGGGAACTATGGCAACACACGGTGAAAATTTTCAAGAATGTGTGATAAAATGCTGACTGTGATATTTTTTCACAACAGATTAACCATTGTGGAATAAGGTCAGGGTGATTAGCAGGGATTAACGTTACGAGAGGATTAGTTACTAGTATGAATGAATTGCAGTATTAATTATTTATTTTTGTTCTGTTAAATGTTTTCTTGCCGTTTGGTTACTGCATACTACCGCAATCTATACAGACCTTTTACTTTATACAAGCAATAGATTCGAGATCGAATGAGAAAATTATAGCCCAGTATAAAGGTGTAAAAAAAATCTTCGAATTGAAATGCAATGAGCCTTCAATGTTATAATTTACTTCTTATTGAGAGAATGTCTATATTGTCGATGTTGACAATGACGTTTGGGCTTTGATGGCGACGTGGTAAAACTTGCTTTAAAGAATAATGCGTGGACAATCCCTCAACCACTGAAACACGAACCTTAAATAATAAAACTGATCATCCTGTTCAAAAGTTTTGTCCCAAACTATTTATTCATTTTTTTTTTCAATTATTCATACATGTATAATGTTCTATTTCTGTCTCTTTGGGGTTGTTTTCGAAATACATTCACAATACGTTATGGATGACAAAAAGATATGAAAACTCTTTTAGTGAAATGATTGGGTAGTATACAAAAGGTTTAAATTGAAATGAAATTTAAAAGCTTTTATATTATACTAGCTAAAGCCTGCCTTTTAATTTTGCTATCTACACGATTATGTCGAATTCATGTGTCAGACTAAGTGCCTGATATATAAGTACCGTTATCAATTAGAACTCGAAGAAATTTAATAAATTAGGGCTGGCATTCCGAAATACCATAAATATGTAATGTTCAAGGATGAAGTGGAAGCATATATCATCTGATTTATAGCTAAATATGTCAAATGAAAGTGTACCTCTGAAATATTTTTTAGAACTTTAATCAAAGTTTGAAATGAAAGCACATCTTCAGAATGAAATATTGATACAAGATTGAGCATTACGTCTTTATAATACATAAATTTTAATTTTAATCAATGTCGAAGATGATGTATTTCCATAAAAGCTCAGAAAGCAAAATTGATATGGCAGGTTTTTAAGGTGCTAATTTTTCATTTATTGAAAGAGATTTAAATGCGGCATTATGTCGTATTCAGTACAGGTGGATAGGTTATCGCGAGTATTTAGAAGGTAGAAATATCTTTAGATAAAGAGAGAAGTTGATATTTGAATTCTCTTATTTACCATGTTAGACGTGCGTGTTTGATTTCTTGCTGAGGTTCTTAATTTTTGTTTAACTGCCAACTGCTGAGAATAACATTAAATTAAAAAAAGAAAATAAACCTCCCAGAGAAGAAATCCAATTTGTTCCTTAAAGTTTTGGCATGATATCTGTTCCACGGGGGAGCATACATTGCTATAATTCAAATATGTAAATCATCTTTTATAACGCGAATTGTCCTCAACTTCAAGGCATATATATATATATATATATATATATATATATATATATATATATATATATATATATATATATGAATTGTAATAAAAGGATCCACAGTCTTACACAAAGTCATGCAAATATCTAGAAGCAATCTGTGATATCCCTTACATATGTATATTATATAATTATAGTACATGCTATGTCACTTGTTTGGTAAAGAAAACTGTGATATCGGAATTGCCATTACATGTATATCATATATAGTAATGTAGTCACATTTTTTGTTCCATGTCGATACATATTTATTTTATAAAGCTTTTATTTATTTGTTCGTATGTTTGAATACATGCTGTTTGTTATTTCATTTTGTTTATCATGTTGATGTCTGGTTATAAATGTGTTGATACAACTTTATGTCTTTTGTGTTTCCCGGATAGGAAAAGTATTTGGATGGCAGAAAACGTATAAATGACCAGTGGAAATTCTTTTGAAATTTACTGCTTTTAAATGTCCAAAAATTGTCGAGTATAAAATGCTGTTGTCAAGTATGTTATTCTGAAAATCGGACGTAAACCCGCATGAGACTTAGATCTGTTTACAGTTCTGAGTCGAAATTACTTTTGTTTGCTTCCATCATTGTTATACACCCTTAGAAAGTATTTTCAGTGCAGACTTGGCAAGGATTCCGAATGTAAAATTTTGTGGAAAGTGGGCAACAGTTTTGAAAATTACTATAAACCATACTAAAAATTAATGCTCTTTGGAAATGAAATAGAGGAAAGTGAATTGTGATCTTTGGAAAGTTATGCTTATACTTAACACGAATTACGATCTATATATCATATGTATTCAATCTTTAAAAAAGTTTACCCTAAATATCATAATTTTGCTCAGATCGTTTAAGTCGTTACTAAATTATACGAGTCTGTCTTCAGCACCTACATCTATGATACATCTTGTTGTTTGATAAGTATGAATTAGCATTCATAGGCGTAGTCACAAGGGGGGGGGGGGCAGCGGGGGTACTAAAAAAAATTTACGTCACAATGCATTGTCTCTCTTTTTCTCTCTCTGCACGCTAGCAAAAGGGAGAGACGATAAAAAAACTGAAATAAATAGAGTACATAAATAAAAAAAAATCATCGTAATTCCAAACTTCTAAAAGTAAAAACTATCTTTTTTTTCCTATTGAGCATTCGTCTCTAACAAACATCGTCTGCGGCTGGCTTCATGACTTGCTCGAGCTTCGTGGTTTGCACGGAACGCTGTATATGTTTTACACATAGGTACTCCCCAGCTTAATTGTTTAAAAGATAGGAAATAAATTCGTTATCCTGGTCCAATCAAGGGTCGGTCTCAGGGTGTATGGAATACACCCCGGGGTAAATCCCCATACACCCTTGATTGAATCTAGATAACTAATAATATACATGCACATCCTTTTTATATTTTTTTGAGACAGAGAGAATACGATTTCTACAATGATCTTGCACATGTAATGTGTACGTCTCCGAGACTGAGGGCTGGATGTATACATACGTTTCTGACACTTACCGACAATTTTGAGGTGTAAGATATATATACCCGAGGAGTTGCAATTGTATTTCCTAGGGGTAAACTCACAATTCTTGAAGTTGTTACAAGGTTAATATATGTAGCAAACGTTTTATCAAATTTTAGGGAAATGATTAAGCATGCCAAACAAATTGAGTACTGGGATTATTTCCCTTTCCCAAAATTTAAATTCCAGCATTTATTGATACTCTTCTGCATAACCCAGTTTATTCTACCTACACATCAAACAACAACGTTTATTTTACAAAAACATCAAAATCGAGTATCACAATTTATGAAGTAAAATCTTGCTATATCTAAACTATGACCTAGATACTACTCTCATTATATAATGTTGCTTGTGTATATATCGAGTACTTTCATTTACTATGTTTTATTTTAAAAGTGCACTCAGTTGACCTGAGTAAATATAAGAAATTTTGACAGCTATGGAGGCACTCCATAGCTCCCAGATCACTGAATAAATTATATCGATTTAGATATGATACATAATAGGAAGTCGTTTTCATGAATGTTGAAAAGTTGCATGTTCAAAAGTAGTTAAACGTATGGGAATATACAACTGAATCTATATTATAGTATTTGGTTTTAATTTAATTTGGTTCTATGTTAGGAAACCGGACCTAGGTATACTATATATATATATATATATATATATATATATATATATATATATATATATATATATATATATATATATATATATATATATATACAAGTCTATGGGAGAATAAAAGAATTCTAAAATAAAAAAAAAAATAAATTTTGTACAATTAAGGTAGTTAAAATTGAATATGTCAACAGAAATAGTATTGATGTTCACACCAGGCAATCACAATCAAGTTAGCATAATGCAGCGAAAAACACTAAACAACTAAAACAATCTTCAATAAACAAGAGCTGTTCTCATAAACTGAGCACTTTGCTCATCTATAATGGAGGCATCTCATTAAATTTTAGAATCTTTTCCGATTATTCTCAGAAATTTACATTATTTTTTTTTGGTGAGGATCTACTGTTATTATATTTATAAAAAATGCACACTAAGAACAAAGTCTTATGCTTTATTTTGCAGACATTATTTTGTGACTGCCTAGTACATGCTAATGCATGTTCGATTGAAAAAACAATTTTTTAATGTCTTCTGTACAATTAAAATACAAGCACAGAAAACATATGTCATATATTTGTTGTAAAAGTATAGATAATAACTGTGTACATGTTGATAATTGAGCATAAACCATTATTTATCCTTTACTAGATTTTACACATTTACTTTTATCAATAAAAAACTAATAATAGAAATTAACGTACAATAATTGAAACATGATTGAAAAATAGTACATCATAATTATATTCCAACCTGATTAAAAGAAGCATTTTGTAAATGTTCAAAATTCGTCAGCTTCTGACCCCCCCCCCCCCCGCCCCCGGCCCCGCTTCTCAACCTCTCCTGGAAAGAGGCCTAAGGGGGAGGCAATCTCAGAATCTTGCACGCTTTAACCAGGCGTCCACATCAAATGGTCAAAAGCTAAATTTCTGAATATTCCAAAATATGAAATACTTTTCTTGAAAATTAAACATTTTGTAAATAAACTGAAAGTTGAAAATCCTCTAGATGTAATAACATGACTGTTAGAGTCAGAACGAATGCATTGTACATGTAAGACAATGCATGTGTAGCACAGTAAACACAGTGTCGGCCAATCTGTCAACACGTATCTTCATAATCTTCACATAGAGAATCAGTATGATTAAGGAAGCTCTAAACAGTAGTTTTATGCGGTAAGGGTGGTCTTACATGTAAGATAAAAGAAACAGGAATACACATGTCATTGAATGAATTGATTTTTAATAAATAAAAGTATATTTTAGAATAAAAATAAAGTAATTGAATACAATATATATTTGCAGGAATTTTCCAAATGTAAACAACAGTGATTTCTATAAACTTATAATTCACTGTATTTGAACATTTTTCATGGGGAATATGGCAGTTACGCTAGCTACGTTGAAAATCAACTAGAAAAACTCAACATGTACACTTTTACTTTATTTTTAATTTTGTCAAAGTCTAAAAAAATTTTTAATTGGTGGTTATAGAGCTTCCTTAAAGGAAGACACCTATAGGTGTAAAAAGAATTTATTTCTTCGAATAAACGACATTGGAACAGACGAAGTAATATAGATATTCACTTAAAGTATTTCTGGACGTCGACGGTTTATCGCGTCAGGCCGTTTGAGAAACATTCACGGGGTACTCCAAACCTTTTGCCTCAAAAGGAGTGCCATACCTTTCCTTTTCTTTTCCAATACTTTTACATACTTTTGGCTACATTAACTTCCAGTGCCCTGGGCCATTCCCAAAAATAGATGTACATCCACGTGTCTTTAAAGGTCCGGATTTACTTTTGTCTGCTTGCCTCTAACATAATAACAGGCCCGTAGAAACCGGGCGGGGGAAGGGTGTGTGTGAAAGGGGTTGTGTTTCCGAGATTAATTGATCGTGGGTATACCGCATTAGGGAACAAACGAAGCATAAATTCATATAAACCATATGACACATTCTTTAAGATATACGCACGTACATAGTTTTAACAAAAGTACTAAAACTTATAGATTTAATAAATATGCATGTGAGAAAGTTAAAAGTCATTTAAGTTGGGCAAATTTTTAGGCAAAATCTACGATTTTACGACAAGGCTATATGTAATTATTATTATTTCATCGAATGCATATATTTAGGTTTTGTATCATTGTTGCAGTGTTTTTCCTTTGATGTCCACTGTGTTTTTATTTTTGATACACCATGACTAACTGTGCTCTAATAACCATGCTCTATCAAGATAGAACACACCAGGGTAATGATGCAACAATTCCAATGACCCTTGACCTTACATTGATAAAGAAAAAGAATATAAACAAAGTAGCTGACTTTATGAGCAAAATACAAGCACATATAAACATAGTGAAGGTATACCTTTCCTTAGGTCTACAAAAAAAATTCTAAATTTTGCACGTCAATTTGTTTTAAATCCAAAACGAAATTCACACATGCACATTTTTATAAATTAATGTTTTCGTCTCTCATAAACTCGAAGCGTAACAAACCACACATAATGTAGTACAGGGAGCGAGGTGGATATTCCTTTTTTTCTAATTCCAACACAGATCTCTAGTATTTTAGAAATCGCTGTTAGTCATCTCGGTCAAAAGTGGACATTTTCCCGTGCCGCACGCCACTCCTTAGCTTGAACGTTACGAGGATATTTTTTTGAGAGTCTATCAATCGCTGAATTTAATAATCGGACACTTGTACAAACCTTTCATTTTTCATCTTCGTGTCGACCTCACGACTGGTGAAATTAACGCACTCAACTCAGTCTCCATCATGTCTAAAATATCTCCTATATCGAAATCCATAATAGGTTCAATTTTTAGTTCCGGTAGATCAAACGTCATACTTCCCAAAGAATCTTCAACCCGCCCCTGGTTCCCTAACTGATCTAAGGAATTTTCCCTCATAATTTCGGTTTCCGTGTCTATAAGAATTGCGAAAGCATAAAACCACAACCGTCATCCATGGCGTTCAGAATATGAATGGATGAGTTAGAAAGTTCAAGAAATACAGCGCGCTATACTTTTCGAATCACGTGCTCTTTTTTCATTGGTTATATAAAATGGTATGATGAAATTTTGATAGATCATGGCTAATTCAGTGCATGAGAACATGTAGTTGAATTACGTGCTATTAACATGCATCTTCAGATATCAGACTCGGGGGACAAGCCCCCTCGTCTGATATCTGAAGATACACTCGTTAGAAGGTACTCTATATAATACATTAACCATGTGCATTACTAGTCTTTGTTTCATGCATTAATTTAAGCAATGTTTATTTATAATTATGTAATACACAGTAGGAATAGGCAACAGACACACTGCCTACAAATATATGTAAACCCTCTCGTTAGTACAAAGGCTAAACTCATACAGACAAGAATATTACAGGTACAAACGGTGCTCACAAAATGATACCTCCCGCTCCCATATGAGTATATTGGCAAGGTCCATGTTTTCCAGTGGGAAACCCCAAATATCTGTCAGATCTGAACATAAAACATTCTTAGTTAAGTACAAACTTCCAGTGTCTCTTCATTAGAAAGTTACAAGGACCAGGTAAAAACTGTACACTTTTGCTGCAGTGACGTTGAACTTGCCTAATGTTCTTGACTTACCTTAAGTCAGAACAAATTCTCAGATAATAGGCGTAAAGTAAGAACTTTCAGTGTCTCTTCAGCAGAAAATATAGATCGGAATTGCTATCAACAGTATGTATCATCACATGAAGTTTGATAAACACATCTTGAATAGTTTCTATGAAACTAAGCTAAATGCAAATTCAAGAAAAGTGATGTCAAGGTCAAAGGGAAGGTCAAGGTAAAAAATTCGATGCAGTTAAATAGCTCTCACCAATATATATCTGTATATGAAATTTGACTTTCGGCTGGGGCTGCACGGCTAGGAGGCGCGTCCCCCGAGTGGCGGATAGGGGATCCCTCATTTATTGAGGGGTGCACTGAATAGACTGAAGAAGGTGCCGTGGACCAATATAGCATAAGGGAAGGACACCCTGACATAAAACCACTGGTCCTCTAAGTTTGGGGGTTGGGCAAGAGGCCGACTACCTCCTCCCGGAAAAAAGACAGTTACAGAAACAATGGACATCGAAGAGCAAAGAAGACCAGGTGAAGCGGGGACCGCCAACAGTCGCAGTACATGTAGGACGACGATGGTTGAAAGCCTTTGGGAAGCCTAGCTCTTATGACACCCAAACAAACATTCACCATCGGACATTGTTATGTGCAAACTTTGTACAGAAGAGGGGCATCAGCACAGATTGCGAGAGAAATGGAAGGATACCAGCTCGACATTCTGGGAATCAGTGAGTGCAGATGGACAGGAATTGAGAGGATGAGACTGACCTCGTGCCAGACCAACATATACAGCGGGGAATGAAGAACTGTGAGGGACGAGTTGCCATAATGATCAGCCAGCAGGTAGTGAAATCACTCATGGAATAGACATCCATCAGCAAGAGAATCATAACAGCACGATTCTATACAAGATACAGAAGTGTGTCGGTGATCTAAGCTTATGCTCCACATAATGAAAAGGAAAAGGAAGAGAAGGACCAGTTCTATTAGGAGCTACAGGAGACATTGGATGGATGCAACAAGAACGACATCATTATTATCATGGGGGACTTCAACGGCAAGGTAGGGAGTAATCATAACGGGAACGAAAAAAACTACTGGTATACAAAATGAGACTGGAGAAAACTGTGTGAATTTTGTCAGACCAACGGACTTGTAATCAAAGGAACATTGTTCTCCCATAAAAACATTCACAAAGCAACATGGGTGTCTGCTACTGGAATAACGAAAAACCAGATTAACCACCTTCTCATTAGGAGGCAGTGGAGATCTATTGTTCTTGACATCAAAGTCGAAAGGGAAACGGATGCCAACAGCGACCACTACCTGGTAAGGACTCGAATCAGGCTAACCCTCAGCACACACAAGAACAAGATCAAGTTGAAAGCAAGACTGGATGTAGAGCGCCTCAGAAACAAAGAAGTAAGCACAAAGTTCAATGACTGCGTGAGAGAGAAATTAAAAGAACACAAGGAAGAAACTGAAGATATCGAGAAAATGTGGGAGCAGCAAAGGATGACCTATGTGAATTCAACAGAGGAAGTACTCGGCTTCAAAACAGGCAAAATCCAGCTCTGGATCACCTGGAAGCTGATAGACGAAAGAAAAGACATCATGGCAAAGTTAGACAGCACAGAATCAGAAAGAGTCAAGACTAGATCGAGGGAAACTTACGGACAGAAAGACAAAGCAGTCAAGAAAAGTTCGAAAGAGGACAAGAGGAGATGGATGGCACAGAAAGCGGTCGGGAACGGGAGGCAGAAGGAATTGTTCAGCATCGTAAAGGAGCTGACAAGAAAGAGTAATAGACAAACAGAAGCAGTGGAGAGCAAGGATGGGGAGCTGATGAAGAATAAAGGCCAAGAGTAGACCAAGGGACTGATCTGCAAAATTCTCAAGAAAGGCAACTTAAAGGACTGCAGCAACTGGAGGGGGTGACATTGCTGCCCCTAGCCAGCAAAGCACTCAGCAGAATCCTCATCAACAGAATACAGGCCGGAGGTGACCACACTCTTAGGAAAGAGCAGGCGGGGTTCCGGAGAGGAAGAGGGACTGCCAATCAGATCTTCATCCTCAGGAACATCCTGGAGCAAGTCAACGAGTGGAATGCTACTCTGTACATGTACACTCCTTTTTTTTGACTTTGAGAAAGCGTTCGACTCGGTGCACAGGGACAGCTTGTGGGTCATCATGAAGAAATATGGAATACCCAAAAAACTGATTAAGATGGTCAAAGCCCTGCATGACATTTTCAGTGTTCTGTGATTGACTGACAACGAGACCACATCCCCTTTCCCTGTGATGACCGGCGTCAATTTAAACAAGGATGCTGTATGTCAGGTTTCTTGTACCTGGTTATAGACTGAGTGATGCAACAGACAGTCAGAGAAGAGAGATCGGGAATTCGATAGGATTTCACCACTATGCTTGAAGACCTTGACTTTACGGACGACATTGCCCTACTGTCATCGACAATGAACCATCTTCAGTCCAAGACGACAAAAATAGAAGACAACTCAGCAAAAGTTGAGATGAAGCTGAATGCCATGAAAAGCAGTGATGAAAATAAACAGCAAGAGTGAAGCCAGCCTGACAGTCGGAAACAGTGAAGCCGAAGAGGTAGACAGCTTCACTTGTCACCAAGGTCGGCGGAGGTACTGCTGACATCAGGAAGATAGCGTTGGTCTGTGCATCCTTCAAGAGGCTAGCCAACATCTGAAAGGCCACAGACATAAGTATAAAGATCAGTCTCCCTTTTCAAGAACCTAGTCCTTTCCGTATTGTTATACGGATGCGAGACTTGGAAGCTTACCAAGACAGAGGAAAAGAGAATTGACATCTTTCAGACCAAGTGCCTCAGAAGGATTCTCAAGGTCAGATGGCAGCAGCATGTCCCAAACATGACAGTTCTGGGGATGGCAGGAGCGGAAAACATCAGTGGCGAGGTGAGGAGGAGGAGATGGAATTGGATCGGCCATGTGCTGAGAAAGGATCCAACGGATGACGGTGTTGTGGCCCTCGGGTGGACGCCTGATGGGAGAAGGAAGCGAGGTAGCCCCAAGACAACATGGCGGCGGATGGACGGGGTGGACTGGAATGCAGGCTGGAAATCTTGGAACACGGCACGTCGTGCAGCCTCAGACCGGCCCCAATGGAATAGAGATGTTCAGGCCTTGTGTGCCCTCTGGCGCAGAGAGAATTAAGGTAAGGTAAGGTATGAAGTTTGATAAACACATCTTGAAACCGAGCTAAACACCAATTTGAGAAAAGTAATGTCAAGATCAAAGGATAGGCCAAGGTAAAAAAAATATGATGCAATTGAATAGCTCTCGTCAATGTGTATCAGCATATAATGCTTGGTAAGACTATCTTGTATAGTTTCTTTGAAACTAAACTAAATGCAAAGTGTGACGGAACGATCAAGACAAACGGAGGACATGACAAACTCTATATGCCCGGCCATATTCATGGCGTGGCATCATACAATAGGTCAATCCTTAGTACTAGTAACAAAATACATGACTTTGTGTGTCGTTTCACCCATTTTTGATATTTTTATGAAAAAAGGCTTCTAGCTATGTTTAGTTCAATTAATTATGTCATATCTATTTTGAAAAACTGTTAATTTTAAAACAGAACCTCTTGGTAAAGCTTCTTTTACTTTGATCAAAGCCGTGACGGTAGCTCAGTCGGTAGAGTGTTCGCTCCGTACGTGATCGGAAGGTCGTGTGTTCGAATCACGGTCGCGACTGACCTAAGTCGATAAAAAAGGGTATCAACTGTTCCTTCGCCAAGCACTCGGCACTTTGAAGTGAAAGTTGTGGGACCTTAAAAACCAAGGCCCCATGTCACGGTAGGCGTTGGCACAATAAAGAATCCTCACTGCTCAATGGCCCTGACCGTCACGGTAGCTCAGTAGGTAGAGCGCTCGCTCCGTGATCGGAAGGTCGTGTGTTCGAATCACGGCCGCGACAGACCTAAGTCGATAAAAAAAAAATAGGTAACAACTGTTCCTTCGCCGAGTGCTCGGCACTTTGAAGTGAAAGTTGCGGGTCATTTGGATGAGACCTAAAAAACCGAGGCCCCGTATCACGGTAGGCGTTGGCACGATAAAGAACCTTCACTACTCAATGGCCCCGAGTGCCGACTAAAGGTCTAAATTTGAAGCCCTTTATCGGTATGATTGAAAAATTCTCGAATGGGACGTTAAACAACATACAATCAATCAATCAATGGCCCTGAGTGCCGAGTAAAGGTATAAATTTGAAGCCCTTCATCGGTATATGGTGACGTCTCTATATGAGTGAAAAATTCTCGAACGGGACGTAAAAGGACATACAATCAATTAATCAACATACTTTGATTAATGGGTTATTCAAGCTATCTCCTTCATTTTTCCAAGTTAATAGATTGCTTTTGTTTGTTAGTTAATAATGCATATAAATAAAAAGTTTTCATTAGTTTCAGTTTTAAGTAGGATTCCGTCTTTTGTTTGAATTCGCTAGTGTTGGTCGTCATAGCAGTGAAATAATCTTGTTTACTCAGAACTTGTAAATGCATTTGAAGGAACAGAGGCTTTATAACGCCGAAAATATTTATCTTGAGTTTCTCAGGTCAAAAATTTCAAAATCCGCTGCGGCAGGCAGATCTTTTTTTCAGGTGTTTTACTCTCGTCAGACAACAAAATGGTTACATGTATCAACCGATGCTACTTTTATGTACTCTGATATTAAATATAAATCGAATCAACTTTAGATACACGTACATGTAGTTTATGCCTAACATTTTATAAAATAGTTAATTCATAAATGGGTGAATTAAAAAAAAATGACCACCAAACTGAATTTTTTTGGCAAAATTCAACTACTTGTAACATATTTTTCACTTATATCATCATATTGCAAATGCATTCTAGTTTAAAATCCTGAAGTGGCAATAGAATAGACAATTGGATTAAAAAATTTCAGAATTTTTATTAGTAAAATTTCTTTTGAAAAAAGAAAATATCATTACACCTTAAAAGACTTTCTAAAATACATAATCACAAGAAATTATAGTTTTTTATGCTTCAAAATGGTAAAAGGGGTATAAATGATTAAATCTAGACCTTGAATGAGTATCTTCTCTTGTACATATGACAAAAAATTGGCTTTTTGATTGTTATTTTACATTATTTTTTCAATTCTGGTTTGAAAAGTTTTAATATGAAAAAAATATGAAGCAATAAAATTCCCCAAAATTCACTTTTTTGTCCGTTCAAGTCAATTCTTTAAATCTAAGCCAAAAAAGAATTGTTATATACGAGTTCTCTTACAAAAAATACTAGATTTTGAAGTGACCCTATGTTACATTATTGTGTTGCACTCCTGACATCTGATATGTATTTTATTTCACATTGTTTTAAAAATTATAACACACAATAACCCATTCTTACTTTGTAAATCAATTTGTCGTGTTGATATTTTTCATCGTTTACAGCAAGTTTTTCATATTTTGAAGATCTTAAAACATGATTATTTGCAAAGTGTAATATCTATAAATTGTATTTAAAATATATGTGAAATGATGAAAACTATTCCCTGAATTGACTGTAAAATTTCTGTAATTTGTTGATAGACATAGTGTTTTGAAAATCAAATAGTATCAAGCATTTTTTTCAACTTATTTTTTAGTAAAGATAGTTAAAAAGCATCTCTAATTATGAAGCAGTTTTGTTGCACTCCTGACTGCAGTAAAGTTTAAAATTAAAACCATAGAACACAAAAATTCATAAAGTGTTGGCAACATCAAGTGGTAATGAAATTGTGCAATACTTATAGTCCAATACTTCATAATTAAAACAGATGAAAGTATTTAAAATTCGCATTTTATCTGGAATTATACCCTATTTTATGCCAAAACACTAGCTTAAATGTATATTTAGAAGATAAAATATATTTTAAAGCATATTTTCCTTTAGAAGACAAACAGAGTAACCCACCAGAAAAATTCTACTCATCATTTTTTCTTTATTTTTATTCTTAGTGGATGATTTATAATTCTAACATATTTGTTGCACTCCTGACCAAAAGCATTGGGGCCTTTAAAGTAGAATTGTGAAGTGAAAATTACATAAGAACTTGTTCTGTTGTTTCAGTGAAGTTGAGGAGGAATTACTTGAATTTTATGACAATGTTTTAGTGTGTTTATTTTTAACGTTCATTAAAAAAATCACAAAAAAGATAAAAACACATCTGAATTGATAAAATTGAAAAAGAAAGGATTTTAATAATAAAACTGTCAATAATTTAGCATTAAATTATACAAAAAGATCATTATAAATTAATGAATACTTCTAAGCATGAATAGAAGTCTTTTCGTCACACAACTTGAATCTTTAAAAAAATGTGTTGCACTCCTGACCATAGAAATATGGATCTGAAGCACAGACAGATCCTGTAATTAATAAATGTATTTGGTAAAAATGTTCTTTGTGTCTTTATTTTCCAAAATAAAAATCAGAAAATCATATAATGATGATAGTTTTTTTATGCTTGGGAGCAAAACATCAAATGTTGCACTCCTGACATTTTTGGGTATGCACAAATACTTGACTCTCATTAATGCTGCTTGTGATTTATATAACATTTTTAAGTTTTAAAATGTATATCAGTTATTATTTTACACTTCCAAAATTCTTTTTTGTCTTAATTTTCTATCAGAATTTTACAATTGATGTTTTTTTGGCAACACTACATTTTTTCTGTTGCACTCCTGACATGGTATAACATTTTTTTAAACATCAGCCATGACCACAACTTGATTAAAGAAAAGTTATGACAGTCCACATTTAAAGCTCAATACTTTAAATATTATCAGGAAAGTCTTTATTTTCAACATGAAGCATTATTCTTTATTTTACAGATCTCCAAAAAATATTGAAATTTCAAAATGTCACAAAAAGGTGTTGCACTCCTGACAATTTTAGCATCATTTTTGGGCATAACTTTTTTGTTAATTGATATATCAACGAGATATTTGGCAGGTATTTAGACACTATCTAAAGACATATGCTGAGACATAGAAATCTATTATCATTGCCTGTATTTTTAGTGTGGGTTGATAAATATGCATTTGGTCATTTTTTTTTAATTCACCCAAATACCATTTTAACAATATTTATCTAATAAAAATGTCTTTACATGCATACAAGCATGTATGCAAAGGGAAATAACTCAATTTTCTTTTTCAATTTGAATAAATAGTAAATCCGAGATTTTCCCTTTTCAATACACGTGATCAATGCGGCAGAGGTTGACCTGATGTGTCGGTGCCTGAAAAACAAGATTAAATTTTTTTGGCCTTTACAAAAATAAAATTTTTAGGAGTGTTTAGTAATCTTTTTAAGCTTTGATACAGCAATACAAAATTTTTTCGTTTTTTATTATACAGTCAAACCTCGGTATCTCGAACTCGATGGGACCTAAAAAAACTTGAGATATCCGAGGGTCCGAGTGTAAAATACACAAGAAATCTGTGGTTAGGACTTCCAAATCACTTCGACATATCCATGGTATTCGAGATACCGAAGTTCAACTGTATTTAGAATTTATTTTGTTTTGTTTGCTTGTTTAACGTCCCTCGTCTAGTTTCTCACGAATATTAAATCTGAATACGATTCGTAAAAGGAATTTGTCCGCCATATTCCAGTGTTCTCTCGCTATATCTGAGGGCCCCTATATAAAGCCGCTCACTTAATCACCGTTCAGTGTATTCAGTCGTCACCGGTGTAGATGGACGTATGCTTTACAGCACTCGGTAGCGACAAAAAATAACTGCGTACTTCTAAATAATGTAGGAGAGTAAGACACCAAAGAAACTTACATTTGCACAGGTCAGTGCAGTATACAAACAAACACAAATACAAGTAACTGCAATAAAATGTAAACAAAGGTAATGCAAGATAACCAGCACGAACATGGGTCGCCATTCCACGCCGATAATCATGACAATAAAGTAGTCAGGTGTAACAAATGCTAAGAGTATACCCCGTTGCCGATATCGTAGATAGTATTAACGAAAATGTCGTATGCCTATTTACGTGTCGTGTTCAGGTTTAAGAAAGCACCACTTGCTGGTGGAGGGCTTCAAATCTGTACTCAGCACACTGTACTCAGCACAAATGCCTCTGAGCAGCGAGGGATCTTTTTCCTGCCAGCACCTACTATGACTGGGGACCTGTTTATATGGTCTCATCCAAAGGAATGGTCTCCACCTCACTTCGTGGATTCGAACCTGTGACGTAAGGATCAACTACTTAACTCTGCAACTTTCAAGGGAACGCTCTGAACAACTATGTCAGGTGGGCAACAGAATTTATTTTGAAAAATAAATATATGAAATTTCTATCGGTCTCCCTCTCTCACTCTATATATATAGATACATACATAAAGCATTTCACCTCCATTGGTTTTGTTTTATTTATACCTGTAATATGCAAATAATTACTCTATCACAAATTATTTGCACCTTCAAATCAAGATTTTGTAAAAACTTCTTTGCTTTTTTATAATAGGAAACTAAAAACGGAAACTGATGCTGAATGCTACTCCTCATTTTAAACAATAACACTTAAGAAAAATCATGCAATTTTACTTTTTTTTAATTACTCAAATACAAATCAAGAACAGAAAAGGCTGCTCCTAGCTGAAAGCTTCAGCAAACAGTATTAAGAGGCCAAAGTAGAGAACACTCAGCGGTCAATTTCACAATCTCCCTGGGTGTCCAGTTACACGACCTTAATGATGGATGATGATTACTGATAATGACGATGAGTAAATGATTTACTGTCCCCAGTGTGAAATACCACATGACATGTGAAGCCTGAACAGGCTAATGGCCACGCTTCACATTTATCTTCTTCCTCTTCTTTTTTTCCTCTTCTTCTCTTCATCAATTAATAGGGTTATCTAAAGTCAAATGTCTTTCACACCAAGTCCTTCCCTGTTCCTGATTTAACTTGAAATGTGAAGGGGGGCTGTCTACTTTGATCTGAAAGATAGAGCAATGATTTCACAAATAATGAAGAGAGTCTACAATAAAATTGCAATTCACACTGCATATCAAAGAATCAAAATAGCTAGTACAGGACTAAGGCATCCGGTTTTCAATATGCAATACAAACCATCATTCAGACTTTCTTTCTATCATTTCATATGCAAAAGGTATGACACAATTTCGCAGTGTTACTCACAGTGCAAGCCAACTTAATTTCATATTGGCAAGAGTTGAAATAATCATTTTAAACTTCAGACCCATGTTCAATTCATGGATGGGATGTAGCAAAATGTGCTACAGCAATATCAACATTCCAAATCTCTTCCAGATAATTTTTAAAAATTCAATAGTACGAAATACTTGTCTTTTACAGTATTTCTCTATGGGTGTCCTGATGTGGCCTTTTGCAAAAATCTAACAGCAAATTAACAACATTGCATGGCACATACTTTGCTCACGCAACTTTGCATAACATGCCATCATGCTGACACAACTTTCCATCGCATGAACACAAAACATATCATCACACTAACTACACACGATATGCCCAGAGCTCCAGATAATTTTTTACCTCAAAGTGTATTTACTCCCTGATTTTCAAATCAATGCAGATTTTGGCTTTTCAGCAAATTGATCAAAGAGTATTTTGTTAATCTATTGCTCTTTTGACATCCAATGTGATTTTTAACTCGTTATCGAAATAAGCGTTTTTAAAAGAGGAATGTAAAAAAGAAAAAGGACAGTTTCTGCATTTATCAATTAGGTTAATGAAATATAGTAGGTTTTGCTATATAAATTGTTGCATCGATCGAGGTAAAAGTTTTAGAGTTACTCCCCGTTTGCATGAAAAGTCGTCGCGTGGCGCTATTTATAGCAAAGAAGCCATGTGGAAAGGAAAAACATTTATTTTCATGAATTAATAAAGGTTGCCGGCGGACTTTAGATAATATTATTGCCACAGAAAATTGTAAATATATAAGAACTGTTAAACATACAGTGATAAAGGATAAATTAGACACCATGCGTGTTTTTGCGGAATTTTGACAATATCGACATGTCCGCGTCAAGAACGAAAATTTGGATGTTATATGAACAGTGCAAATCTGTAATATTTTCAGACAAAATACGAGTATTTAATATTCAAATCTTACTCCCGAACTGGAAATCGGCCTAGGTTATTCCGAATACGCTTATAAATCAAAATTTCCTTTTGATAAAAATTCAAACACTGAGCTGACCTCAATTCACATAACTAGTACTTGTATTATTCAATCCTTCGTACATGTATGCAGTACTTTCGTAGTGTAATGCTTATTTATGATTGCTAATGCGCAATTGTACGCCCTGTTTTAATTTTTAATGCGTATTTAAAATAAACCAATGCATATTTCTGCAAATACGCACCTTATCTGGAGCTCTGATGCCATCTCACAAACACAACTAGCTGTGATCAGAACTTTACACAATTCCTCGTGTGTTAGTTCTATGATGTGTTTTGTAAAGTTGTGTTAGTGCAAAGACATGTTCTGTGTTAGCACAATTGCATGTTATGTTTAACTGCGTTAGCAGGTTTTGTGTTAGCTGACAGCATGTTATGTAAAGTTATACAAGTGTGAGAGCAAGTTTAGTGTTAGTGTGATGTTGTGTTCTGGTGTGTTGTAAACAAAGCACCTTCTGTTCTTCCTATTTAGCTGTTAAGACTTTTGTAAATGGCTCAATAGGGACACCACATTTCTCACAATTATGAGCCAACCTGAAGTTCACATTAAGTTTTTTTTTTACAAATTGAAGACCCATGTTAATATTATTCCTCAATGCAAGTTGCAAAATGTGCTTCAGAAACCATTTTTCTGAAAAATTTTCTACCTTGAGGTCAACTCGACAAGACAAAGAAAGAAAAAGATCGACAGGTGCAAAACCAGAGAATGAGAAAAAGTTTTCAAAAATAAAAAGAAGTGAAATGTTCCACTTTTTAAGGGTACATGACGATTTTGTCAAGCATTTGAACATCACAGCACGAAAAAAATCCATGTTGAATTCCCAATTTTTTTTCTTTCGCAAGACCAAGTAATACCTATTTAATTCCACACCAATTAAAATTGTGCACCATTCCATGAAATCGAAATTCCAAGAAAATTTCTCTCCCAAATGGTCAGTAAATACCGACTCCAATTTAGGTAACTGTCTAGTCTGAAGTATCTGACGTTTTCCAGGATTTTTTCACAATTTTGATACTTTTACGTGCCAGGAAAATGTCAGAACTGGCGCTATTACGAAAACTGGAAATTTGCCACTTCCAAGTGGAGGCGCAATTTCTCGAGCTGATTTTTAATACTTGCGAACCGAATTAAATGCTGAATTCACAACTCATTATTAGTACAATGCCTTTAATACTCACCACCATCGTTTTTATGGGTTTGTTTATGAAATATACAGTCTGGTGAAAGCATTTTATCAGACCATCGAGTTTTCTTTTCATTTAGTGCAATTTAAAATCTTGCAAAACCTGTATCGAAATCTGGAGTGACATTTTCTTTTCATCGATATTGGTGAGTACTAGAAGCAATGTACTAACTAATAAATTGCAAGTTTGGCATTTAATTCAGTTCGCAAGTACTGAAAATGAGCTCTGGTTGGAGAGGGTGAAATTTCCAGTTTTCGTAATGGCGCCGGTTCCGACATTTTCCTGGCACATAAAATATCAAAATCATGAAAAAGGCCTGGAAAACGTCAGATACTTTGGACTAGTAACTGTCCAACAAATGGGAGTAAAACCACCATTTGGTGGGTTGTGCCAACCTGATTGTAACCAAAATTATACTGCACTCGCCTCAACAGTTTCACCGACTATGGACGTATTAAAACTAATGCCTCTTTTGGGGAAGACTTATAACAAGAAATATTGCCAAGATTTCTGGACATACCTTGCCCTCATCTTTCTCCTTTTGCGCTTTAACCTCCTCATGCGCTTCTTCCTCCACTGCAAAAATAAAATATGTACCGTCATAAACAATCAGAACATAAATTCTTCGTTGGGCCACTTTAGTTTATTGTCGTACATAATAACAACATGCAATGCAGATATTTTATATGACATTAGAATGATAAGCATGTTTTCACTCCATCAATGCAGATTACATACATGTGTAACATGTCTGTGCCAAAAAAAAATATTTAACGTACCTTTGCTCTCATCTTGATCAGAAATATCTAAAAATAACAAAATTGTACAAATTCAAACCTAAAAGTTAATGATGGTGATGAATTATGAATGATTTATTTGGATTTTTTCTGGCTTTCAATAACGCAGATCTCACCTGTTCAAGACGGAAGTTAACAAGAAAGATTAGTCTGGAAGAAAAGTTTGACATTTGCACACATTATGTTTTACACGAATAATTGAATTTCTATACATAATATATCAAATAAAAAAGATTTGGAAATAAAATGGTAAACTTATATTTAAACTGTGTATCCTTCTTGAAGACGGCACGTCGATTTACCCAAATGGACCCAAATGGACCCAAATGAACCCAAATGGACCCAAATGGACCCAAATGGCGACCCAAATGGACCCAAATGGACCCAAATGGCGACCCAAATGGACCCAAATGGCGACCCAAATGGACATATATAGACTTTATACCAAAATCAGAATACATTCATAAAAGTACAAGACCTCAAGCGTGTAAATACGAATAAAATTATTTATAATTTTTGCATTGTATATAAATATTGTTGAAAATGTAGTGGTGATTTGAATTAAAATAAATCCTGCTGAATGTTTTTTATATTTATTTCAAAACATTTTCTACCAAAATATGCTATAGAAAAATTATTTCCTTTATTCATTATATCACTTCAAACATAATGTCCAACTAAATTATTTTAAAATAAAGGAGCTTACCAATCGGAAAGAGTTTCACAAAGTTATATTTTTTCTGAGAAAATAATTAATTCATTAACCAATAATGTTTAGTAAAATGGTTTGACCACTCAAATATTTCGATACAATTGAGAACTTAATGATGAGACCCATTGGATCCTATAAAAACACTGTCTTTTTCAATTGTGCTTTTTACTTTGGAAGTTATCCTGCCATGCAAAGGTAAGTGCCTTAATTAGTTTAGTTTTAGTTTCAATCATTATAATTAATCGAATTTTTTTTTTTTTTAAAAAAAACGTCAATACTGGATCAATTAAAGGGATTTTATCAAAGTAAGCATAATATCTTTTGTCTATTTTTCACCGTGCTTGATCGTTAATTTTTATTTCTCATTGGAGACATTTGTTTATCAAGCAGAGTTTTAAGATATTTCGGTATTTGTGTCAAATAATTTATTTGTAAAAGTAAGTTTCATATCATTTAGGATCTTCCCATTTTACACAATATATAATTATACGAACTATAAAAAAAATAGCTTTGTTTTAAAATTATTTCATATACGTTATCTAAATTCAAAATTTCTTAGAATACTATATTGTTTTCCAACAAAAATTTATAACATTATGAATTTTGCATTACAGTACCCACAATGGTGCGTAAACAATCACACAAGAAGAAAAATGAGTGGCCCTGTGGTGGATGCAGAAAAAACTGTGTCAATTCTTGTGTGTTTTGTGCTGTGTGTACTAAATGGTTTCATAGTGTTTGTGAAAACTTATCACCAGAGGATTTAAAGTTATTTTCGGACATTCCAGAGGACTATGTGTGTGTAGTGTGCCGTTCTGATGACGGAAAATTCGATTATCTGATGGGAATGGAGCGGATCAAAAAGGTAGGATTTTTTCCACTCATAAACATTTTTTATCTATTACAAAGAATGTTAACAGTCATTCTACAAAAACAAGACCAGACCAAATAACTTTTTTTTATCTTGCTTATAAAGATAAATGCACAGTTGTAACGTCTTATTTAATTTGAGTTAATTAAGTAACTCGTATAAGATCGGCTAATAGGCGTATAATATAATAATTATATATCATTCTTATATATTTCTTGTTGAAGCATATAGCTAAGTGCAGATAGTCTTAATGTAATAATTGGAACTCTATTTTAAAAGTATTCTTATTTAAATTGGACTGTTATTTTATCAATTATAGTTGAATCAGTCGCTTCTTGTTTGATTGAAAGTTGGATCAATCGCTACTGATTTAATTGATAGCCAAGCTACTTGTGCTACTATGTATTTTGAGAATCCCAGGATGTTTTGATAAACAATTTACCTGACCACGCGCCAATCTCTTTCTTTTACCGCTAAATAGTTGCTTGATATTAACAGGGTCACTTAACCACACCCCTAGAAATATTACCAAAATGGAATACAATTGAAGTGCAACATTAAATTGAATCAGATTGTAAGCCTTTTATTATTATTATTGCAATTATTTTTAAGAAAAAAGAATGATACAAGTATTTATAGAGAAAAAGTGGATATAATTCAAGTACGTTGAAAAGTCTTTTTACGTGCATGTCATACTCAACTTTTTACCTAAAATGATGATATGGTCCTTGTAATGTAGAATGACTGTATGAAATAAATCTGTAGCATGTACCTTCCATAGTTGTAGAAATGTATTCATTTCATGAAGGATAGCAATATTTCTATGTTTTATTTGTATATGGTGTATTATTATTAATATTATCGATATTTTAGAGGAACAGCATGAGTAAACATATTAAACAATAATTTTTTTTTTTTTTTGAAAACATGAATTTAATATCTTTATACAGTGTACCGCCGACTTGCATAAGGTAATCTATACGCTAGTAACAATAAAGGAACGTGCATCTAATAGCCATCATAATTATGATAATATGAAATATAGTTAGTAAAACATCAGTTCAATAGTTCAAATCTTCCAAACTTTTTTTTCAATATAAATGTTCATGTGATGAATTGAAAATTTACAAGTTGGCACTACAGATTTGGTTCTTAATGTCTGCACAAAATTCTGGCCAACCGACACTGAAATTTCTTCATGCCTGATGCAGCGGGTCTATCATTCCTGATGGAAATTGATGAATTCATGTGCACTCCATCTTTGTCGTAATGGTCAGGGTAGTGAATATCGGAAACGAAGCATCTTAAAGATAATGTTAGACGTTACCTGAAAGACAAAGAGGGATGTGGCGCAAAGGAAAGGGAGTTTATTGTGAAATTAATTTTCGGCTACGACGGACTTCTCAACAGTGACGATTCGTTTTCCTTTGAATCCAAAAGAGCACATATGCTCTTTTTACGTATAAGATTTACACTTCATTTCAGTACTAGTGCTTGTACATAGTTTCCATCATGCCTCATACAATAATATGTTCTGGTTACTTTATATGGATGATTTGATATTTAGGTCATTTATGTTGTGATCTACATTTTCAAATTTAGACATGTCTTTAAAAAATTGGAATATTTTTTAAAAGAGTATGGTTTAATTAAGCATTTTTCTTTTTCTTTATTGATTCAATGCTCCTTTTTTACTTGAACATTTCTTAAGAAAATAATCATTCGGAACTTTGGCATATTTTTCCAAAACATAAATTGTGGCTCTTTCTATGGGTGGCCTCCACGTGGCAAGAGCTGGGCAACGTTATTTAAATAGACACGTTCGAAATGTTCATAATTGTATAACGTGCCTATTTAAATAACGGCTAACAACCCTTTCCTCTTTGATGATTTTTTTTCTTTTTTGCATATACTCTATTCCTATTTAATCATTATTTGGGGTCTCTCTGAGTCTTAAATAACTCCATTTGGGTCCATTTGGTCGCCATTTGGGTCCATTTGGGTCGCCATTTGGGTCCATTTGGGTCCATTTGGGTCGCCATTTGGGTCCATTTGGGTCCATTTGGGTTCATTTGGGTCCATTTGGGTCCATTTGGGTAAATCGACGCACCCTTCTTGAAGATGAAACTTTATCTTTTTTGATTGGAGACTATAATATTATAAACATGGCGGGCAACGAAGTTCCGTTCACTGGTTCTTTAACTTCACAAGGAAATATGCAACAAACTCTACCTCTCCAGAATGCCCCCAAAGCTGATGTTTCCGATAAACAAACACTTTTGGCAGTTTTACAGTTTTTAAAGAAAAATAACTTGAAGGTAAGGATTCATTAAGCCTCAATGGCAATACAATCTGACACTACTTTAGATACGTAGCTTGGATTTCCTAGTAGCTTGATTAAGATTTAGCTACTCGAAGTAGCTTGATTTAATTTCATATACTTTAAATGACAGGGAACAGAAGAATTGTTAAAGAGAGAAGCTTCCATTAAAGATGATGATGTGCGTCCACAAACAACATCGCAATCAGAAACTGATGTGTCACATGCTTTGGCAGCTTACAAAAGGTAATCAGTGCAACACAGGGTTTGACATTAACTTTTATGAGTACTAGACCAGTTGGGCAACTAAGTACTGCCCGTTATTTTTAATATGTTGACGGTGTGACTGTTGGGGCGAGCGCAGTTGTGTTTTCATTACTGGAAACCTGTTCATTTTTAACTTGAGAAGGTCGGCCCCTTCAAAGGCACGAGGCATTTCAAATGTCTAGTAGATCGTGGCATTAAACTATGTTGAAGTTTAATTGCATTTCCATAACAGAGTCTAAAAGATGCATTTTTTTAACAAAGCAAACAATCTAAATCAAAGCAAATCTACAATCTAATCTGCAATTTCCTTTAAAGTACTTTTAGTTGTTCTTTTGTACTTTTGTTGGTTCCGTAAGAATGATATTTGTGTCGCCATGCATTTCAAAAAGAATTGTAGGTCCAACGGTGGAGAAAAAAATTATTTGGATGAATGTGCACAGTCTGAATTTTCACTTTACCTTACCCAGCATTGCTTTAAGATCTTGCAGTGCAAGTGGTGCTTTGCATTGCTTGCTACGCTCACTACTAGCCCTTACCATATTAAATCAATAACCCTGACCAAACTTGCCGATTTACTTCTTATAATCTTTTATTTTTTAATGAGATAACTTTTGAAACCATACTTTAACAAAGACATTGTATGTGTTTTGACAGACTGTTAGATAGGTCCTTGCCAGTTGAATTAGGTTGATTAATTGGGACAATCCACATGTTATTACAGCTGTGGCTAAAAATAGTGATTGTACCATGCAGGAATTTTTTTTTACAGGGCAATGGCTGTGTTTTCAATTGACAAAAAAGAAATTTTCCTTAAAATATTTTAGAATATTTACTTAAAAGACTGAAATGTTTAAATTTACATGATTTATTTTATCCACATAGCCAGCCGATCTAGTTCACTTACCGGTACATTTTACTCATCTGGAACATTCATTTACTAGTCTAAGACTCTGTGTGTCGGACATGCCTTAAATTAGTGTCAAACCCTGCTACATGATGTATATGCTACAATGCTGTATATTCAATTTAAAGCACACACTTGTCCTCTGATATGAAGTGGATTTCCACAAGTTTCCTTTAGGAAACTCTCAAGACATGTCCTCTTTTTCAGTTGATTTATGTTTATCTATTTTTTTTTTTTAATATTGCACTACACATATATGACATAGAGACTATTTTCTTTTTCATTATTGATGTAAAAGCAATAGAAATTGCATGTATATATACGAGGGCCGTTCAAAAATTATGCGGACTTGTTGCACAGAAAATATATTTGACGACATAATCAAGGAAAAAGTCACAAAAAATATAAAAGAATCTTTACATACTAGTATATGGTCATCAAAATTTCATATCAAAATATTGTAAACTCGTATCAATTTTAGGTGATTTAACAGGACATATCATGAAGTCACGGCGCAGTAAAACATTCAACGTCAAGGGCATTTTAAAAAATGGGAGCTTTCATTTTCTAAATATTTTACTTTAGTATTTGATACTGTATAGTTTGGGTTACCTTATCTACTCAGCATAAACATCCATATACCATTTCTGATCCAGCCTAAAAGTTATAAAACTAGTGTTGTGTATTTTAGTTTGTGTTAAAACCCAAAACTGCAGATATTTCTGAAGTAAGGTTTGACGTCAGTCGATCTCAATCACATTCTTAGCAGTCCAGATCAGTGTTTTGTCGATGAACTTCTTAATTCCATCCCTTCCGGATTGCCTTTTGACTAAGGTCTCAGTCTAAAATTCTTTTTTACATTTTGTAGAGATGTATCAGAAATTCCGCTGGTTATTACATGTTTCATCAGGCTTATTTTGGGTCTCTGTCGGCGTTTTCCCAGCATGATTCATGATTTGATAAAAGTGCGCTGCTCCGTCAAATCACAACACGTCACTTTTGCAGTTGATTTCATAGGGGTCACATCGGAGAAAAATTACAATATTTCTGTTAGTACTTCAAATATTACGTCAGAAATTTAAATACTTAATAATACAACAATAAAAAGAAATTTTATAGAAAATTATTGAATAGTATCATGAAATTTTGAAAATAAATGAATAAAATTATGGATACCGCAAGTTTGTTTTTCAACATTTTTGCCGTGCTCCGTACATCACCATCAGCAGTATCAAAACAGCAATAATTTTATGAGACATTAAATAAAATCAAAAAAATTTACCAAGAATTTATTGAAATCTTTTAGAAATATGTTCCTGTGAAATTTCAATTCTATATGACGTCTGTAAGAGTAAATAATAGCAGAGTCCGCGTTTTTTTTGAACGGCCCTCATACATACTATGAAGGACTTTGATTATGTGAACTACACAGTAAAAACTTTTGCACTTTAAATGCAATGAAAAACTTTACACAAATCAGTGTTTACAATGATCTTTTTCTCTGTGGTAAATTATGATTTGATTTTGTTATGGATATTATATATCTCCTTACAGTGCAGATGATCCCAGTCGGTTTGCAGACTATTATACAGATCTGAAAACATTCATAGAATCTTGCTTAGATGCTCATAAGGTTAGTGAAAGATTGATGTTTTTGACTTGAAGAAAAAATGCCATCCATTCATGAATCAGTATGATTTTTATCGAGAGTAAAATCATATATTTTATTAATCTGATTATGTGTATTACAGAAACAAATATTAAAAGTATTTTAAAATATTTGAATTATTTAAACCTTGCAATTAAGTATTGTATATGTATGATGTTAAAAGGTGGAACTTTCAATGATCCTCTATCCAGTGTTCATACACATGTACCTTGAGATGGTATACAATGAACATGAATCCTATGGTATGTAGAATTATTTGATAGTGTTTATGGTTAAATTAAGAGTTTGCCAGTCTTTTATTATCTAATGAATGACAACGAAACTCCAGTGTCCTTAAGTGACGAAGCATCAGTTATATCAGCATACTAAAATTGTTTTTCTTGACAACTTATAATCTAAAACTTAAGTTACTTATAAAGCAATGTTAATGTAGAAATTGAAAGTTTGAATATAAATGAGAAGTGCTTTAGAAAATTTTTTTTTGTTGAAAATCACATCAAAGGTAAACTTTTATTCTTAAAGAATGATATATCATGTTGTGTATGTATTATTGACAGCTATACTGTTCTTCCGGAGATTTTCTAAGGAGCAAGAGGACTTCTACCAGGAAGACTTAAGGAAATTATCTACTGTAACAAAGAAAGAACACATGAAAGGAAATGAGCTCATGGAAAGCTTTAAGTAAGTTTGCCATGGTAGGATTTTGTCTGCACTAGTACATAAATCAATGTCAAACATAAGAACATGAAACTCTGTGTAATGGACTTGGCATCACATGCATGTTGAAAAAAGGAGACTTCTCAAAGTGAGATGGCAGCCCCAGCTATTTTTGATTCCCAGTTCTTACACCTTTCTGTCAGTTCTATTGGAGATATTAATGTTTGATAATATTAAATCTTTTTTAGAGCCAGCAAGTTTGTGATGAAGATGTCCAGAGACTCGTACAACCATCTGAAGCGTTATTTACAGGAAAATAAAATGAAGCCATTGTTAAACATCATCCAAGAACATCTTTTTATTGATGGTGATTGCAAATCTATTCGTGTATTAAGATCTGGTTAAAATCTTTTGGATGGATGTTTTGTCAACCAGAATTTGATTTAAAGCAGAAACAAACAGGAAGATTTTTGTAAACATTTGAATACTTTACGATAATTTATCATAGCCATGTTGTTTCAATTGTAGAAATTTAAAGTTTGAACAATAATGATGGTCTCAAGTGAAGAATTTAAATCTCAGATTTTATTCTATTTTCAGTATTTGATGGAGTACCCAGGACAAAACAACAGATTGAGGCCACAAGTGGGGCAATGTTAGGAGAGAGTGAAAGAGATGGTAAGCATTCTTGTGAGATTTTACAGGAAATACAGTCCCTGAAACGTTCTACTTTCCCACTTGAACGGTGAGCGAACGCTGAACAAACACTGAACGAACGCAGAGCGAACGGTGAGTGAACGATGTGTGAACGCTGAACGCAACTTGGTGAATGATGTGTGAACGCTGAACGGTGAGCGAACGCAGAATGCGAACGGAGCGCAAACGCGAACGCAAAGTGAACAGTGAATGAACGGTGAACGCAAGATGAACGATTTATTCGGAATCCCTCTGATCTTTCCTTGCATTGAAACTATTCTATTGTATTCTAATGTCATGTGCCAAAAAATAAACAAATTAATGAATAAATAAATAAATAAAATAAATGCAACAAAATTGTCCTAAGAAATTAAAGACGATACATGCACATTAAGTAAAACTAAGTTTTTTACGTGTGTTAAATACAACTTTTTAATCACACAATTTTTATTGCTGTAAAACATTGTCATTGTTATCGAAGTATAAAGGAGTATTGTATAAGTATATAGTATAGTAGTATAAAAGATAAAATTATTTTAGTTTAAAAATAAATGTGTTTATTCTTATTTGATGCTAAAAAACATACAAATAAGACAAAACTTCTGACTTATAGAATGAATTGTAACGGTTGTAACACCCATTCATATGTATTTCCTTGCCAAGGCGATTCCATGTAAAATGATGTACATGTACCTGTAGACATTTCCCCTTGATTATACTTGGACAAGATTATACAACGAGGCATACATATTCATATTATTTGTTAAAGGTTTAAATTTCAGAACTTGATATTTAAGCAATATGATGTCATAGTTTTTATCAAACAGACAAATGAGAGAGATAGAGAGAGATATTCCGTTTTAGCCCCCCCCCCCTTTCAGGCTTCACCAAATGTTTGTACCGATAACAAACAAAAATTCCTCATTTTTTAAAAATATATCAGGCAATGAAAGAAACCTTTTTTTTTTTCAACAAATCCATTTGTTTGACGGCCATACTCGTTTTTATTTTTCCTGCTTCAAGTTCACACGAAGTCCACGTGCTTGTCCTGTCAATCAAAATCATTCGACACTGTGCAGGTGTGAAAGTCTCGTTACACTGAAGACGAAGTGCTAGTATCTCCAACAAGTTTTATTTTTTTTGTTAATCATTTCTAGATTTGATTCCAACATTTCTAAATAAATGAATAATTAAAATACATTGGGCATTAACACTTCAATTTGAAACATACTCTCTATCAATTTAAAATACCACCGCCGACACGTGTATATTTTGAACTACATTGTACTATTGTTTAATGACTTTATTAGATGCATGTTTTTTTGTTTTGTTTTTTTTTTTCTTGAGACTGAAATTTTTGTGGTACAAAACACATTAACTCCTTTTTAAATGTTTATAAAATATACTGGAAATACTGACTAAGTAACCGATTTAGGAGGGAAAGGGGGGGGGGGCTCTTAATCATATCGAATGGCAAAAATATAAAGTTACAGTGTAGGAAGAATTTATTTTCTCTATAACTATAGACTTTATATTATTATAGAAGAGAACATCTGTAGTGTATTACATTTAAAATAAAATATTTTTTTATAACCACACTATCAATGTAATTCGCTCCAAAGATATTTAATGAACAAGATATCCGCAGTACTATGTATAATTCTCATAACTAGTTCTATCATGTATTTCCGTAGTAATTGGGAAAAAATGTGTTTAAATAGAAATAAATATTTTCGTAATTTTGCTGCAGTGTTAGAAATAAATATTTTTGTAATTTTGCTGCAGTTTGTAACTTAATTAACTTGGATAATTTATCTCTCCATTAATGATTTGTCGTCTATAACATAACAACAAAATGTTGCAGTGCTTGAAGTATCTAATTATATCGCTCGTATTTCAATTAAATTTTTCAGCATTGTTCTACATACATGTAGGTACATACTTATAACAACATTAATTTCCCAGAGTAGATTAATAAATAACCTTACAGCAAAGTTAGAATAATAAAAAAAATAATGTTGGAATATTGTGGATATTTTTTCCAAAGAGATAACGATTCTTTAAACACGATATTTAATTATTAAATTAAAAAACCCGTAAATCCTTTCTAACAAACAGATAAGTCATTCACTTCGGAGTTCCGAATGACACTGAAGGCTGAACGATAAGTGAACGCTGAACACAAGGTGAACGCAAAGTGAACGAACGAAGAGCGAACGCTGAACGCTATGTGAACGGTGAATGCGAGTGCACGGTGAACGCAGAACGCAAAACTGTGAACGGAGAGGGAACGGTGAACGCACGGTGAACGAACGGTGAACACACGCTGAACGAACGGTGAGCGAACGGAAAAATAGGAAAATAGAACGTTTCAGGGACTGTACACATAATAAATCAAAATTTTTACTATTAAAAAATTGTAATCAAAATCTACATACACAGTACCCAAGTTCAGTACCTACATTTAAGGACAGACGATACGTTCCTCAATAATATATAATTTTTTCTAAGATTTTGTCATTGAAGTATTGATACTTTAACATGTTTACTTGCAAAAAATTGAGGTACCTTACCAGGCATTTGTGCAAGATACCAGAAGATGTTTTTCCTATAAAATCCTTTTGGGAAAAACTTAATTAGCCAATATCACACTTTTTTGGTGTTTCATTTTTTAAAAGAAAATAAGAAACCTGTTTATAAATCAGAAGGCAATTAAAATTTTGAATATTTTCCACATAATTCGAAGATATAAAAAACAGATATTTGAGGAACGTATCGTCTGACCTTAAGTTGGGTAAATCTTAACAAACTTATACTTATTATGTTTTCCAGCCAATAAAGTGAAGGTATTTTATGGTCTGCTAAAGGAACCTGACATTAACATGCCAATAGAAGACGATGATGAGCCAACAGAAGGAGATGACAAACCAAAGGTAAAAATTACAGGTGAACTTAATACAAGCCTCAAAGTGCAAACATCACCCAGTTTGGGAGAACAACTAATTATTCTGATAATTTTTTTCTAAAATTATATTTGTGCATAAGAGTATCATATGAAAATGATAGAAATTTTACTTTTCTTATATATGGGTAGGTACATGTAGTGTTCAGCTTTATTGTTCATAATGACATCTCATTTGTTTCTTATTGAGGTACATGTATTAGCACTAAATTTAATTATTCAGTATGTGTTGTTTGCAGAAAAAGAAGCCAAAGAAAGACCCCCTTATGATGAAGAAGTCCAAAAATGATCCTCATGCTCCAGCACTCAACAGAATTCCACTTCCTGAACAGTAAGCTTTAACAGAATCGGCTACTTATTGAGCTATTTGATAAAAAATCCTAGTAAGTAAACTTTCACTGTATTGCAACAATCACTCCCCCCACCCACCCCCAAATGCACTTAAAATATTTCATAATGCAGTGAATTTTTTTTCAGGAAAGACCAGGATAAGATGGAGAGGATAATTGCCTACAGAGAGGCATTGAAGAGAGTGAAAGTTGGCAGAGATAATCTTCCAACAATATGTTTTTACACACTTCTCAATACTTACCAAGGGTAAGCAAAAAGAATTCTTAATACACAATAGTTACATTTCTTAGCATGTTCTGCTTGTAGCTAAAAAAGTATATTTATCTCAGTCAATAGATAATAGATGCAGGTAAAACATGGAAAGATATGATTACATCTGTAAGTGGCTTATGTACACACTGATGTGATACATGCACTACTGTTAAATATATTTTCTGCTATAATGAAAAAGTGGGAGGAATATTTTGTCTAACCATTCTTTTTATTCATAAGGAATGTGACTAATACATGTACATGAAGTCATTGGGTTCACTGTCCTAATTTCCATTTCTATTTTTTAGGGTTACCTCCATTGACATATCAGAAGACTCCAGTTTACTTTGTGTAGGATTTGCAGATTCCACCATTCGAGTGTTCACCATCTCTGGCCAAAAACTCCGGGGTATGAAGACTGCAGCAGAGCTAGATAGCATAGACAGAGATGCAGGTTTGTTTTTTTCAATAGTTCATTAAAAAAAGGCTGATTTTGCAAAGTATTAGTATAATGAATTATGTATATAGAATATTTCTAATATTTCATTTCACTTTCTTTTTGTAAATATCGTTTATATGCTTCTGGTTTTATTAAAAAAGAATAACCTAATTGTGTCTCAGGTCAGGCATAAAAGTGAAACAGAAACAGGCCTCAACATTAACATTTGTCCAATTGTTCTTTGTCCAGTTCATTTTATGATTGGACTAGTCAATCTCAAGATATACTTGTCCAACTGTTCCTTTTTGTACAAGTATGGAATATTGTAATTATGACAGAAAAAAAATCCAACAGAATTCATTTCACACTGTGATTTTTTTTAAAAGTTGCAAACAATAAATATATAATGATACAATCCTTAGGGTGCAGTCAATAGTCTCCAGACATTGTTAGGGACAAGCACAATCAAGACAAGATTACAGACAGTACAACTGTATTTTAAGTTAGTCATTATTTCATTTTTATGATTAAACAAATCTTTATAAATCAAAATAAGTACACTACTGAATTCTTGAAAACAATGTTCTAAGATCCTTAGAGTGGGACAAGTAAACAATGAATTTGGACAATCTCTTGGCAACTTGTCGGATGGACAAGAGGATATTTTAGTTAATGTTGAGCCCTGAGAAAAGGTCCTCTTTAGGACATCATTTTAAATGATAGAAGAGATTGTATAGTATTATACATGTAATACTGTGTCAAAATTATTTCTATAGTGAAACTAAGACTACAGTATTTGACATCACGTCTGATAAAGGCTAGTAAAGTGGTGTTTGTTCACTTTCAGATGATGTACTTGAGAGAATGATGGATGACAGAACAGCCTCAGACTTCAAACTCCTAACAGGTCACAGTGGACCTGTGTATGCTGCTCGTTTTAGCAAGGACAGGAAGTATCTGGTGTCCTGTTCAGAAGATGGCACAGGTCTGTTCTATAATGTAAAACTGTACTTCTCTCATTTAACCTTATGTACTGTCAAATGATAAGGAACTTAATTGTACAGTGTGTCTGAGTAGTGCAGATGTTATTAAAATGATTTTTTTTACTCTACATGCAACTCCTGTAAATCATATTTTATGCATGGGAATTTTTTGTGTAATTTTGCCATGTTGGATACAATAATTAGATGCTCCTGAATAATGTCACAATTTAGCGAACTTAGATAATTTGTATACTGTATACAGGGAAATTTTTGCCTGTGATTTATTTTTGCCCCTTTGCCTTCTTCTTAAGTGGGCAAATTTAAGATGGGACAATTCAAATAAGACAGCTTTATTTTAACACAACTGTGTTTGGGCAACCTTATTAAATACAAGGCAAAATTGTTTGCATTTGTGAGAGGGTGAAAATTATGTGGATCAAAAAAAATAACCATGTATTCAGTACTTACATTGTATCTACTTCTGGTCTGTTGTGTGGCTACAGTAAGGTTGGTATCAGAAGATCATTATATTATGTAGAACCTTATCATTATATTTGTGTATATGGTATATGGAGGATTTTATAAGATATTTACTCCTTGCATACTATTTACATGTAGTTGATATTTATGTGAATTTTTAATAGTGAGGCTCTGGAGTTTGCTGACATGGACAAACTTGGTTTGTTACAAGGGACATAACCACCCAGTCTGGGATGTAGAATTTAGGCAGGTTTCTTTTAAATTTTTCTTTATCATTTTATGAAAATTTCACCTTAGTGCCTTAATAAATGAATTTTCATGTTTTACCCTCCTAGCCAACAGAAATACAAGAAAGTATTAAGAACATACATGTACAGTGTATTTTTTGGCTTTAACACTTCAGATTTAATACATGTATTTTCCTTAAATATTTTCATGCTCCTGGACTGTAATCCAATCTAATTAAAATTAGACTTGTAATTTTCGCTCCTCTACGATACGCTTCAATACAAGATCTAACAACACCCCGTCCGAGGTCACCTCAGTGTGACCTTTGAATTAACCAATGAAATCAACGCTGGTAAAAATTTTGAAGGTACCGCAACTCGATAACTCAAGAAAAGTTCCGAACGTTATGAAAGTTAAATTTAGATCCGAAAGAACGAAATGGCGGCGCCCATGACGCCAGTTAAAATTTATCCCCTCGGTAATGTATGCGTAATTTGCGGGTTCTCTTTCATAAGTAAGTCAGTGGACAACGAAGGAAAAGTTGTGATTCACAAATATGTAGACAAAAAATTAAGACTTACAACCGAAAGAGTGGGTGATATAAAAAATGTTTGTGGTTTTCCTGAGGACACTCGGACCACATTTCCTCCAGACGCAGGTGTATGCCAAAAGTGTTTTCGAAATGTCCAAAAAGTTTTTAAAATAGAAAGAGAAGCTGTGAGTATGAGAGAACATTTCAGAAAGTCGTTGAATGCTACCTTGGATAGATACAGTGTTTGTGTGCCATCGCCAAGTAAATCGTTTGCTGTCACGAAGCGAGAGCAAAAGAGTTCAGTGGAAGCGTTCAAAATCAGAAGTGTGTGCAACAACAGATCCTCTTTTAGTACAAATCAGAAAAGTCACTCCAGTAAAGTTGGCGCCAGTAAGCGTGTTTAGGTACAACACAAAACGTACCCTTGATGGAGACATCTTGAAACAGGTATTCAATATTTTAAGTTTTTCGACTTTTAATTTTTACAATATTTTAATTGTTATGAATGAAACATAAAAGGATTGGACTGACTATATGAATTTTTTGATTTCATGGAATATGTGAATTCAATTTTGTTCAATTCAGTACATTGCAGAGGGAAAAAATTTATCATGCCTATACTCATTATATAAATGAGCAATCTACATGATCTAGATTTTGACTTCCATACAGTTAATGATAAGGTTTATTTTTTCATATATTTAATTATATGGTGGACAAATGGAATCAAATCAAGCTTTCTTTCTTTTCTTTAAAATCAGCAGGTGTCTGTTCGTGAAGCAGAGAAGTCTGTTGATACCTTAGCTGAATCCATGTTTAGAAATATTTTGCCACATCCAAATGGTATGACAATTAAGAATGGTATGATAGATTAGACTAATTGTATGATAATTTAATAAATGTCATAGTGATTGTTCAAGAATGTTGTCAAATTTCCAAATAGTTTGTACAAGTGCCTACGAAATACATAAATTAAATATTGAAGTACATGTATTTGAACATGTTTATTGTGCCTTTCTAGTGCATAATGATACTAAGGAACAATTCAAGTGTCATATCTTCTGCTTGAATTTGAAACTTGTGCTCCAGCCTCCTCATTCATGTAAATGTATTCTGAAGTGCCTAATGATTTTTTTCCAAAATGCCAGGCACAGATCACACATGCATGGGGGATGTGTTTGCATAAGACATGATACATAAGATATATAAGAATTATCAGTATATCAATTATCAGTACATCAATTCCCCAAATTAGTCTTTCCTAATATTCATATTATTACTATTACAGTTCCTGCTAACAAAGAAAACAAGAAGCCAGCAAGGAAATCCTTATCTTTTGTGGACATAAGAGATCCCCCCAGTGGAGGTATTTTAATCAATGATAGGTCATTAGCAGAGTTACTATTTAAAAATTTCAAATTAAATCATGGTAAAATCAACTTTGTATAATATGCAAATTTGGTGTAAATATGGTGTATCATTAATTTAAAAAAAATCATAAACTCTAATAAATGTCATCATGAATTTATTTCATAGCTTTAATAGGTTTTTATGTATTTCAGATATTGAAAAACAAATTGAAAAATCTAACCAGATTATTCAAGGTCAAGGGGAAGTAGAGGTGAGACTTTTCTCAATTTTATGTTGTTATATGCATGCTTCATGTTCAATGGTCATCCAAAACATTCATTTATTGTGAAAGCTATACATGAAATACATTTTAATTTTGTTGGAATTCTTTTTTATCAGATTGATCATGTTTATTGCATTTTAACATGTGACTGTTTTGGTTGACTTTATTAAACTTTCTTTTTTATGTTTTGTTATTTACCTCACCTGAGCAAAGACTCAAGAGAGCTTTTTTGATCAAAGTTTGTCAGTCATCCATCCATTGTCTTTTCCCCCCATTTTTTACAGGTAGTGTAGATTCAATTTTGATTTATGGCCCCAGGGGTATGTGTAGGGTGCATTGGGCCACAATAATAAAGTTTTATCTGACATAAGTTGGTTTTTTTGGGTTTTCTTTTGTTTTTTGTAATAAGCTCTACAATGTACAGGGGATTAAACTGCAAATATTCAGTGTGGATTCAAAGTGTGTTAAAATTATGAATAGACTGTTTAGTAGGACTCAGTCCCCATATCCCTTAGAAAAGTATGGCTTAAAGTGCAAATTAGTCATGACCACTAGGGGCTAGGATGGATCCACATAAGGGATCAAAATTATAGAAAGGAATATATTAGGGGAAAAATCATAAAACAAATCTTCTGAAGGACAGCAGGAGCATGGTGAATCAGATGAGCATTATGGCCTTTTGTTGTATTTGTTAGTTATTATTTGTTTTATTTTTTGCAGTTATTTCCAGTTAATTACTTCAAGAGTTTCCTGTTTGTTCTGACCAGTTTACAATTTTCCAGGATTAGCTTGATATGGTAAGACTGCATTTCTTCCTACTAAGATATGCATGTATAAGTCATTCAATCAATTATTCTACATTTTTATAATACTTAATTATATCCATATTTATTTTGAAAAGTAAAAATGAAATCTAATAATTTGGATAATTAATCTATTCAACAACTGAATTGATAGCAGTTCATCACACATAAAGATGTTTAAATATACATGGTAATTTGGTTTGTATTAGGGACAAAATAGGATTTAAAATTTTATCATTGGTTCTTTGTAGGTGTCAATTAATTACCCAAGTGGAAAAAAGTCTGTGCTTGTTGTATCTCCTTCACACAAAGTTGTATGTAAAGCCATATTGGACAACAAAAATGTAGACAAGACTATTGTGAACACTTTATGTCAGCAAAATCCCAACATTGTGGTGAATGCAGTGACTAAAATAATAGAGGATGAGTGTAGCAAAATCTGTCATCGAGGGTCTGGTTCATTTCTTCAAAAAAAAGAATATGAAGATTTCATTAACTTTCAGTGGGAAAATCTGAGTAAAGATCTTCAGAACAGATGTCCTCATACTCTCTCTATTATATCATCCATAGTGCAAAATCCACCCCCAGGGATTCTCAGCAAACCCTTCTTTCATGTGATGCTCTCCAGTGCTATATGTTTGCATGGAAGAAATCAAGAGATGTCCGCTTTGCACTACATAACAGCCTTTATCCTTGCTCGTGGTGGTTGTACACAAAGAGTAAGTGCATTTTTTTTCAAAGGGGGGGGGGGGGCTGCAGGATACTTAAATTTAAGATTTCAAGGTTCTTTTCCCTCAGCCTTCAAAAATTCAAATTATTACCTTCGCTTGAAATGAAGGAAATCAAACCTAAACTGTTATTTTCATTACAGACCATTGAATCACTTTGTAAAGCTGGACTATGTGTTCATCCCCAGACACTTCACAATAAACTGACAAGTTGGCAGGATAAGTTGGATGAAGATCAAAATCCTAAAGGTAAATTTTTTTTTCCAGGGAGGTTATGTTTTTTGCAGCTCTTCTTGTTTAAAGTTAACACACGTAACATAATACATGTTGACAGTTTAACTGTACAAGTATTGTTAGGTATAGTTAGTATACATTTATTTACTAAATGAATTTAAACTTTATAAACTGCAAAGTGGCTTACAAAAAAGCATTAACTGTTCCAACCAAGATTATAGAAGTATATCTTTAGTAGCTATGAAATGCACTCCTTATAACAATTTAATATTTTATCATTACACTTAATAAAAACTAGGACTTTTTCCCCTTCAAAAATGCCTTCAAATTGTACAAATTTTAAATGTGTTGACAAGCAGATTGATACATTTTTGACTAATTTGTGACGTAGGCAACACAAAATTTTTTTTATCAAATCAAAAGATATGTTACACAAGAACTAAATATTTATAGATAAAATGGACCAACAAGGAAGAGGTTGCCAAAAAATTCCAGTTGGTGGGTGACAATTGGGACAAGGACATTCTCCCTTCTTATCGAACCAGTGAGAGAAAAACAGAGAGTCTCCATTTGTTCCAAATCTATGCCATTGTTGACAGGTACACCACCACCAGTCCAGCGGGGTCAAATGGATACGAAGAAAACCTCACATACATCCCCTCTGTCCTCGAACAAACACAGTTATTGAAGGAACTAACATTTATTTTTGCTTCAGCCATTATTAGACATGTTCCCCAAGTGTCAAAGCACTTTGAGACTATTTTCCCAAAGCACTTGGATCATGAACATTCAGCTTTTGCAGGACTAAAAACAACACAAGTAAGATTCACATTCTATAAAATCATTAATTTTAACTTTACAACTTGTACATGTAGATAATATGATTAACCAGAGGTGAATTTTTTTTCAGTATTCTTTGGGACTCTTTGATACGAATGAAAATAAAACGGACGAAGTGATTCGGCTCCTTAGACATCTTACCGACCTGTATGTCCCATTAGAGAATGAAGAGGTTGTTGATGCTGTTTTCTTTGGAGGTATGTCAATGAGGCATTTAAATACCTTGGTAAATCTGACTCTATACTTGATAGTGAAAAAGCATGTAATGAATCCAAGATGTGTAAACTGATGATATTCACAAATCAAGGTGTTAATTATATTCTTTGATCTTGAACCACAGCAACCAAATATGCAACATTTTGAAAGCCAGTATTATGCATTATGTTTTTTTTTTAAAGGGGATCGTCTCACTGATGAGAGAATACAGTGTGCACAGGTTGCACTCAAGGATTCACTGACATCAAAAGGACGGCTAGAGGGATTCATTTCAAAATCAGAAGACTTTCACAGATTGATGAATTTTCTCGAAGTAAGTAAAATTTAAATGAAAATTACCTATATCCTTACAGTTACTATTTATTAAGTCTTATAAAATACTTTCTAAAATAAAAAAAAGTTTTTAAGGCAGTCAGTGAATATTTACTTACTGATTTACTTCTTATAGATTAACTACGTTCTGTTAGAACTTCATTTAAATTGCTTATATTTCAAAGTTCTGTCATAACGAAATACCATGCATTTTTTTTCCTAGGTGCAAAATATTGTTTAAATGAGTAAATTTTACTAAATCTAATTTTGCAGGCCATTTATAAGCTTACATACAGCACTGGCATGGCAGGTGACCCATGTACTGCCCACTATTACAGGAACCTTTTGGGCCATAGAAGTGCTAAAGGGCCAGTAAAGAATGCATACAGAGGATACAAGATGCTTTATTATACTATTCTTGATGCCATCTGTGTAGTGCTCTTTATGGACAAGCTGGGGTCAGTAGACATGAATGATCTTCCACTTCCAGATTTTTCACAAATGACACCCAATGACAGCATTCAGTGGTTGAATAACGTGTGTAGGGAGCTGGTGGAAAAATGGTTCTTTGAAGATGGTCAAGATATTTGTGAGGAAATAAGGAGTGTTCTAGAAAATCCTCAGCATGAGGAAAACTACTGGACTTCGACATTAGAAAATGGTCGTTTTAAATGTCATCATTGTGAAAAGGACTATAAAAGAGTAAGTTCTTTAAAAGCTCACGAGTCTAGATTTCATGACATCTCTTTGAGTAAGACAAAGAAAAAGAAAGAATGCAGCAATGAAGAATTGCATGATTATGTGTTGATGCTTTTTAAACTTGTTATGCTCCATCGAAATTTTGACAGTGCAGTAGATATGGGGGATGGTGGAAGATGCGTACGATCTGCAAAGTATGAGCTTCCAATTTACCACAAAACAAATAAAATCAAATATTCCATTTGCTCCATTCATACTACGGCATTGTCCTCAGGACTTCTTAACGCTGACCAGGAGGAACGATTCATAGCAAACAGATTTGTGAATATCCAAGGTGGCAAGAATAACAACATTGCTTTGGATGAGTACATTGAAATGCTTAACAGAGACAGCAAGGTCTCTTGTACTGGGCACAAAACTAAGGAAAGTATACTGAAACATTCGAAAGAGTATCCTTTGCTCATACAATTCACAAAACAGTTCGAAGAGGCAGGTGAATTTGGCCAAAGGAAAGGATTTCATCATCTTCCTTCCTATGCAACTGATGTTGAGAAAGTTATAAAGGATTTACTGGAGAATAACATTTTACAGAAAAATGAAAACAGGAAGGTAAAAGTAAAAACAACTGGTTTAGACAGGAATCCATTTTCAAATTGTTCTCAAGGCTTGTCAACCATACTGCATCGCCATAGACCATGGTCACCATATGGAAGACTAAGAGACTGTAAATTTTGAACTTGCCAATTTCGTTTGACTATGATATTGTGATGCATACCTTATTCATTATTTAGTCAATGAGCATTTGTCTTAGTATGTAACTATGTGACTGTGAAATTGTGATGCATACCGGTACCTTATTCATTATTTAGTCAATGAGCATTTGTTTTAGTATGTAACTATATCAATATAGCATGGAAGGTGTTATAAGTGGCATCAATTATAGGCAAGAGTCTTAAGATAAATAGTTTTATTAATGATGTTGATTATTATAATAATGGTTTCAATATTTGTTCATTCATTAAAATTCTTAAATGTTTGATCTAAAATATTTTATGCAATGTTTCAGCACTTGGCTATAAATATGATTACCGGTAGTCCCAGAATAGCGTCTTTTATTTTATTTTCAGTAAATATGATTAATATATGATTGAATAATTCCCATCTCTCTGATTGGCTGAGATCCAACAATGTTAGAAAAGTACTACGTTATATTGACCTGCACATGATCTTCCAGGTCAGTATAAGGAATTATTTATTCTACATTGGAACAAAAATAGATAGGGAAATTCCAAATTGATGCAAATAGTTTTGGAAAGTTATTTCACTTGCACCTGACATCCACTCATACGAACTTAACATTAAGGCACATAGATTCTTGGGAAAGGGGGGGGGGGGTTGCAGGAGGCCTACCCCTCTCTCCAACTTTTGAGAATGTTAAGTTTTAATTTAAATTTTAAGGATAAAAAATTTCAATGAGTTTCCTCGAAAAGTTTATGGACCTTTACATTCCACCAAATAAAATTTTGATTTGGGAGAATTCTTTTCCTTTCTTGGGGGGGGGGGGGGGGGGCAGTCAAAGATTTGTTTTCAAGTAAGTTGTCAATTTCAATTTTTTCCTTTTAATGCCCCCTTTTTCAAAATCAATCCTGTATATGTGCCTGACATTTATTTTTCTACATTGCACCTAACCTAGATTTAAAAATTCCAGAATAATACAACTGTTTTTTAACCCTGTTTCTCTCATTATGTTGGGCTAGTACTTCAGTAGATGTGAACAAGTAAGATGGCATGGATTGCTTAATGAGTGTGTTATTTAATCATTGAATCATATAATAAAACAATTATTGCCATTTTTTTCGGTCAATATGATGATTTAGCCACCTTCGAAGTACAATATTCACCTCGCCCTTCAGGCTCGGTGAATATTGTACACCTCGGGTTTCTAAATCATCTTATTGACCTCAAAAAAACCCAGCAATAATTGTCTAATATATAACTCTAAAATGCAGATATATGTTATTGAATATTTAATTACTTCACAAAATATCTTACACCAATGTACAGATAATATAACTTATAAGCATAATATGTATTGAATATTTAATAACTTCACAAAATATATCATACCAAATGTCCAAATAATATAATTTATTAGCATTTCCTATAATTATTATATCCCCAAAGGAGAGGGGGGTATACTGGTTTACCTTGTGCGTTTATGTTTGTGTCTGTCTTAACAAATTTTCACAGGTTTTCTCAGCAGCTACTCTTCGCAGATGCCTGAAATTTTAGCATGCTTTTTTTTTAAGCATGCCATGTGATGGGATTCATTTTTGTTTGAATTTGATGTCAACTTCCTGTTTATCCCTGCATCTGTCCATGCCAATATTTCTTTAAAAGAACTTTAGTATATTAACATGAAAGTGTATATTCAAATCAGAGCTGGGCCATAATTGGTGCTCACAGAATTCTTGTTATCCCCATGTCGAGAAGAATTATTCTCAAGAATCAGAATCTTCTGAAGTTTCATGATCATTGGGAAAAGTTACATGATTCCCTAAAAACAGTTTCTCCAATGGCAGTTGAGAACAATCCCCACATAAACAGTTGTTCTGACATACGTCACAGCATGAACAATTTCCTGCATAAGATTTTACTTTATCAAGTTCACTTTCCTTAAGAAATGATTCCATCATCTGTATTCTTCGGCAGTCATTGCTCTTAAAGAGTTTCTTTACTTCTGGGTCACATCGGGCAAGGTGATGGGAATTATAAAGTAGCAAAGACACAGACTTTTCACCATCTCTCCCAGCACGTCCAATTTCCTGCACCACTTCAAGTATAGAATGAGGTGGACCAAATAAAATAATGCTGTGTAGATCTTTAAAATCCACCCCCATACCCAAAGCATTAGTGGAAACAATAACTCTTATAGGGCTCTCTTTCTCCCGAATGGACAATAACAGTCTCTTTGATAGATTCTTCAGTCTCTGAATGATACATAGCTATATATGAGCACAAGTCCTCTGGCAATTCGTCTGACACATAATCATAAATCTTTGCCAAATCACTAATTGATTTACAATAAATTAGTGTTCTTGGAAATAGACTTCCCATGTTCACCAGTCCATCCACTAACCATGTCATTGCCATTTCAATGTCATTTGCCACTTTCTTTACAACATACTTGATGTTTCTTTTGTCCGGTGACAAGTACACAAATGTAAAATCTGGCTTAAAGGATACTGTATAGGGGGAAAATAACTCGCGGTGTTAATATTCGCTATATTCACGGTGTTTATAAATCCGTGAATTCAAGAAACAGTGAATAAGTTTTCAAAAACTTCCAATTTTTATTTGGAAATTTTAGAATATACTACGATAGGTATATATACGTGCAGTGCATGGGCCTTCAGTAATCACGAGTAGTACTTGTCATTCAATTATTTTAATTATCACTCTTAACTTTAATTCAAATCAGCAGATAATAACATGTATTTGTTAAAAAGCTGTTTTAATAGCCAACGCTTTATGTTTTATCAATCAAAACACGTGGGCCATGGGTTTGATTACCCGTATTTAACTAATTATTAACTAATGGTACCACGTGTATTTGTTACCTGCAATATCATGCGTATTAGTTTTTATCGACATTTTGGTTTAAAAAAATCACTCTAATAACTATCGAACTTGCTGAAGATGTGGAAGGATATTACTTCGTCGACCTACATTAACATATTTATTACCGTCCAATGTTTTTTTTTTTTTCGCCGCGATATTTTATCCCTATAAGGAAAGAAGATCTTGACGTGTATATGCACCCATCGTTACAGCATATAGGAAAGTCATTCGACGTTTATAGTCAAGGACATTTAATCACCGCACTTGTTTTAATTAATCGTCAATTAATTATTAGATCTTACCTATTTTATACAAACCTACCCCGTTGTTTGTGAAGTGAATACATAACACTGATCATGCTATGGATTAAACGGATATAGACAAGGGAGATAACTTTAATTATATAAAATATATAATTCCGCGAATTCAACAAACCGCGATCGTGTCAGAGGACAGAAAAACGTGAAAATTACAACCCGTGAAATTAATCCCCTATACAGTACCACTTTCAACACACGTTTCCGTACTTTCAGTGTGCAAGTGGCACTAAGGGCAAGCAGTGACGCATTTGGAAAGATGGAACGTAATTCTCCAAGATCACCAAACCATTTCCTAAATGCTCTCTTGTGAATATGTTCATCATCTTGTCCCCTGAAATATATGAATACATAAGAATAGAATTTATTACCAAATCAGGGCCTAATGGGCATAAACATATAACATATATAATTACAATATTTTAGTTCATGAAGCAATTGAGGAAAATTTTCTTCACTCATTTTACAATTCTTTGAATGTACTGTATATCAAAACTAAAATGTTATTTAAAAATTCTTACCACGTTGATATTAAATGAAATTCATCTATAACAATTGCAGTGACATTGAGTTGCTGTAGTTCAGCCCGCCATTCACCTAACAGTGACTCCGGACTTCCAAATATGATGTCTACCTCGCCACTCAAAATCTCTTTATCTAGACCTTGACCTGTAAAAAGTAGGGAATGCTTTTAGCATGCTTAAGTGGATGACATGCAGCAGGTGATCACAGGAAAACAAGCATATGAATGATATTTTTTTGTGCAGACCATAGATATAAAGTTTATTGTAATATTTTACCATACATGGCAGAACAAAACTAAGGCTCTCTTTGCCAAACTTTAAACTTGGTATTTATTAAACATATAAAGTCACAAAATTTCTGCAAGGTTTCAATAGTATTTCAAGTATAACCAAGATTGAGATCAATTATCCTGTCTCAATTTTCAAATATTGAGTTAATGACTGATGCCCCGTGTTATAACTTATATTTTATGTATTTGTTTGGTAGTAAGTGTTTTAAAAAGCTGTATAAATTTTATTCCTGTTGTATTCGTGTTTGTTAAATTAAATAGTTCCTTTGAATAGAAAATTCCTCTTGAACAGGTCCAGTACAATCAGTACATTTATCTACGTAGCTAGAATTACCTACCGTAGCTTTATTTAGCTACCTCAGGTAGCTTTATTTAGCTATTTTAGGGCAACTTTTCACAATTTTGCTTTTTTTTTTTTTTTAGAAGACAAAAAGTCGCAAGTAAATGTCTAGTAATATTTATTCTAGGAATTATTTAAAAAGCAATCCAAAGCAGATATAGTTTAAACATTGTTGTGTTTGAACATTTTTAAGGAAAAGATGTATTTCCATTGTTTGAGTAACTTTACACCACCTTGTGTGCGGTGAGGCGTGGATAAGTATGATTACTTTACATTGTGCTCATGTTAATCAAAACTGGTTTTCTTTGCTATTTCATTCTGGATGTAACTGTTTGGTCACAAGTTAACTGTTGTACATAGCCCCAAAACTTTTAGAACTTTTTTGATTGCAATTGTGCAGAAAAAACACACATCTCTACGAGTGATTTTTTCATGAATTATTTTCAGATGTGTTCAAAGTTGAAAATTATCACTGCATCAAAGTGTAATTTTCTGCACTTCATAAGGAAAATGCTAATTTCAGAAATAAGTTTGATTAAGTAGCTAAATAAAGCTACCTCAGGTAGGTAAATAAAGCTATGTAGGTATTTCAAGCTACGTAGATAATTCTAGTGATTGTACCAGACCTGTTGAATAGCAATATCAGTTCGCAAGTGGGTTACAAAACGTCATGAAGCAAAAACTGGGAATAAAATAAAATATACCTTTATATGCGGCCGTTACACCTTTAATTGCATTTATTCTCTCAACCTGATCTTTCATCAACGAAACAAGGGGACAACAAACAAGTACAATCCCAGTGCGGCCGATTTCTCGTTGTACCAACGGAAGTAGTTGATAAGGTAATGATTTACCGAAGCCAGTCGGTAAAACTGCCATGCAGTCCTTCCTATCAAGCAGACACGGGTAGACTTTACTTTACCGGTCCCCAGATCCGCAAGATCCGCGCGCTCATTGCATTATGACGTAAGATTTACGTCACTCAACTGATAAGGGTTAGTCTTGCACATTTTTTGACTGGTTAGGGTTAGTCTTGCACCCACCTGAGAGATTAGGGTTAGTCCTTGCACAAGTTTTCAACTGATTAGGGTTAGTCTCGCATCCATCCGAGAGATTATGGTTAGTCCTCGCACATGGGTTAGTCTAGCATCCGCCCGGGAGATTTGGGTTAGTCCTCGCTTACCATCCGAGGGATTAGGGTTAGTGTCTTGTTTTTTTTTTAAAGATAAATTAGATATTCAGTTGCATCTGTATTTTTGCAAGATCTTAATTCAGCTTTAACGACATCTCTTTGGTTTGTTTACATGAAAAAATGGCTAAGTACGAAAGAAACGGCACTAAGCATGCGCCGCACGCGCTCTGTTGACAATTATTTTTTGTCTCCTGTTCACTGAATAAACAATATTAATCACTTTTTTCAGAAAACGAGGTTAAAAACTTCGTTTAAAAACGAAGTTTTAAACTAAACTTTTATCTGTAGAATTCGATTTTGGGGTCAAAAAGGCTAAAAACCTCATACTTTTAATTTTTTTCGATCGCTCACGCGATCTCATATATACTGAAGTCGCCTACGGCGACACTATATTTTAGCGCGTTTTTCTGGGGACCGGTAAAGTAAAGTCGTTCCGCAGACACTGCAAAATGTCCAGCTGTTGAGGCTTCAATTGTATATTTAGCGAATTCGTAACTTTCTCAATGGGCGCAGCCATTTTTAAATGCCGAGCGATAAGCATATAACAAACACTTTCTCATTGGTCGATTCTTGACGTCATTGGTTATTTTTCATTGGTTAATTGATTTGTATCAAAGGTCACACTGAGGTGACCTCGGACGGGGTGTTGTTAGATCTTGTATTGAAGCGTATCGTAGAGGAGCGAAAATTACAACTCTAATTTTAATTAGATTGGACTGTAATCAATTTATGAATTTAACTCTAACACCTGAAATAGTACTTAAATATAACTTTCTATACTATTAAGAATTAGTAATATTTGTATCCATGTCCATGTATTTACATTTGTATGGTTAGATACCATACAATATTGCTCTGATAACTTACAAGGTTTCTGTGATAATGAAAATATTGTACAGTGGGACATTTTATTTGTAGTCCGTATGGTCACTATTTTGTATCAGTTGGACATGACAGGACTGCCAGACTGTGGGCCACAGACCATCATGTCCCAATCAGGATATTTTCAGGACATCTTTCAGACATGGATGTAAGGTCTTATATGTATCTACTCATTATATTTACAGTTTGCTGATATGTTTTTAAAATAAAATTAGAATAAATGTTAAAGATTTTTTTTCAAGTTTAAGAAGATGCATTAAACAGTCCTTTTTTTCAGTGTGTGAAGTTTCATCCCAATGCCAACTATATTGCTACAGGATCCAATGACCGTTTTATAAGGCTCTGGGACATTCTTAATGGGAACTGTGTCCGGGTCTTCACTGGGCATAAGGTAGAAAAAACATTGCTAATTATTTGCAATAATTGTAATTTTATGAAATACATGTACATTACATGTATGTGTATAAAATATATTAGTTATTACATATTCATGTACATGTATATATATTGAAAATTACATGAATATTTATCTAAAAGCTAGAAATAAATGGATATATTTAATTTTATTTTAGGGATCAGTACAAACACTTTGTTTTTCACCAGAAGGAAGGTTTTTAGCCTCCTCAGGTAAAGATCAGTTGCCCAACCTGACTTTTTGTTATGAATTGAAGAAAATTAGAATAAAACATGAAGCCAGACTGAAATATACAATCGTTAAATTTACATGTAGTTGACTTTAATATGTTCTGACTTCTTCAGGTGTGGACTGTATGGTACTGTTATGGGATATCGCCACAGGGGGACTTCTAGCTCAAATGAAAGGACATACAGAAACTGTGTACACTCTGTGCTTTAGTCGAGATGGAGGGGTTCTATCATCAGGTTGGTCCACATTAGGCATACTTTACTACAAAGGAATTAAATGAGATAAAAACTTTCTGATCACTTTAATTATTTCTGGATTTATGGGGGCACTTGACAGCATATTTTTTTCTTGGATGGGTAGAATTTTTTTTTTTTTGGATAAAAAAAAGCTACATAAAGTCAAGTATACTTTCAGGATTGAGACTTTTAGGATCAACATTTCAACACTGTTAAAAAGGAAAAAAGAAATCATGACTGTTTGCATTTGGGGGTGATTTTAAAACTGATAGAGAAAGTGTAGTGAAATAATATGTTCTGCTTTTTATAGGTGGTTTAGACAACTGTGTTAAATTGTGGGATGTACTGAAAGTGTTACAAGAGGTGGACACAGAAGCCGACACCAGCATACCAAGTTCTGTCCATGTGTAAGTTATAAAAAGACTGTAGTACATCTTCTTCATAATATTACATATATAAATTCATTGTTACTGAACAGGTATTCAATAATAGCTCAGATATGAACATTTCCAATGAGTTTTCAAATTATACATGTACAATGTATGTATCTTTTAGAATGTAGTTTAAGAGAAATTACAGTATAATAACCCTTTAACAATAAACGTGGTACTGCTTTTTTGAAGGGCAAATGAATGACCAAGTTCTTGTTGGCAGATAATTAAATATTTTACCAAACTACTGGCTATGTACATGTATATCCATTTGTCCTGCAAAAAAGCAGTACCACAGTTATTGTGAAACTTTTTTTGCTAAACCAGTGTGGTTTTTTAAAATTATTAAGGGTAATAGTTATTAAAAATTTCCATGTGCAGAAAATTTTGAAAAGTATGCTGCCCTTGATGAAAACTTTGCAAACATTAAATTGCAGACTATTGTGCATAATGAGCAATGTGCATACCTGTATACCTTGCCTCATAGACTTCAATTGACAGTGTATTTATGTATCCCATTTACAGGACCTATTAACAAAACTTACCTTTTATTTTGTTTTCAAACATCTAACTTAAGGGTCAATACAAACAGGATTTAATTCTGTATCAAATGGTTTGATGAATAACTGATTCTCAAGAATGATGATAAAGAATCCATAAATCATCAAGAAGAAGTGAATGCAATACCGTCTGACAACATGGAAATATTTGTGTTGGGAAAATTTTTGTAGATTATACAATTAGAAAAGTTTCAAAAATTTATCACCATGCAAATGGTTTCATATAAGGTACCATACTATACAACAAACCAGCAAATTTTGTAAATTCTCATTCCATAATGTCCGCAAAAATAACCCCAACATGAATGTTTCACTCATTGTTTAACCCTCTATAAATATCCACATTTATAGTATTTAAAAGAATATCATGAATTTTAATTGATAGAAATGACAGTCCAGGACTTCTGATTGGTTCTTGGCCAACTAAAGCCACCCCTGTTCTCTGTGTTCACTTCACTCGCAAGAACCTCATGATAGCCAGTGGTCCAGCTGCTTTGATGGAGGACAAGTCACCCCACAAAACTTGAAATTCTTTTGAACTTTTGGGACCATCTTCTACCAGAGACTATGTGGTAGATTGGAAAATGAAAATTGTGGCATACCTTTATGCATCGTGAACAAGCTGCTTGAAACACAACTGGTAATCTTGATATCAGGTGACTGTTGCCTAGTGGACAGATATGGTTACAAGTGTTTTGAAGTAAAAAATTACATGTAGGTGCAGGAAACCTGTTTACAAGGTTTAAGGAATGCAAGGAGGAAATATTACTAGTAATAGTGCTGTAAACCCTCAAAATGTTCAAATATTTGTAAAAGGTTTATACATATTCATGTAGAAGCTATGATGCCTGGGTTTAAAATGTTAAATTTGTTTCATGATTGGTACTGTGTACTTTAAAATGAACACTATGATGATCATGCAGAATAAAAAACATCAGAAAAACATTTTCCTTGTTGCATTTTATGTCAGACAAGTAAAACATTATTAGTGAGCATTCGCTCATAGACTTCTTTTTTTTTTTTTTTATTAGAGATTTGATTTTTAAAAATTTTTATGCCCCACCATGAATATGGCTGGGGCATATAGTGTTTGTCATGTCCGTCTTAATTCCTTCCGTCCTTCCCTCTGTCCTTCCGTCACACTTTGCGTTTAGCTCTGTTCAAAGCTCAGTTTCAAAGAAACTATCCAAGATATTTTTTATCAAACTTCATATGCTGATAGAAATTGATGAGAGCTATGCAACTGCCTCAACATTTTTTGACCTTGACCTTTCCTTTGACCTTGACCTCATTTTTAGCTCACCTGAGCTGAAAGCTCAAGTGAGCTTTTCTGATCACATTTTGTCTGTAGTCTGTCTGTCCGTCCGTCTGTCTGTAAACTTTTCACATTTTCAACTTCTTCTCCAGAACCACTGGACCAATTTCAACCAAACTTGCCACAAAGCATCCTTGGGTGAAGGGGGTTCAAGTTTGTTCAAATGAGGGCCATGCCCTCTTCCAAGGGGAGATAATTAAGAATTAGTGAAAAATTAATAGCGTCTTTTAAAAATCTGCTTCTCAAGAATCACAGGGCCAGGTAAGATGAAACTCGTGTAGAAACATCCTCAGGTAGTGTAGATTCAAGTTTGTTCAAATCATGATCCCCAGGGGTAGGGCGGGGCCACAATGGAGGATCAAAGTTTTACAAAGAAATATATAGAAAAAATCTTTAAAAATCTTCTTCTCAAGAACAGCAAAGCCATGATGAGTCATATTTATATGGAAGCATCCTCAGGTAGTGTAGATTCAAGTTTGTTCAAATCATGACCCCTGGGGGTAGGTTGAGGCCACAATGAAGGACCAAAGTTTTATATCGAAATATATAGGAAAAATCTTTAAAAAATCTTTTTCTCAAGAACAGCAAAGCCATGAGGAGTCATATTTATACAGAAGCATCCTCAGGTAGTGTAGATTCAAGTTTGTTCAAATCATGACCCCCGGGGGTAGGGCGGGGCAACAATGGAGGATCAAAGTTTTACATAGAAATATATAAGAAAAATCTTTAAAAATCATCCACTCAGGAACAGCAAAACTCTGATTGGTCATATTTATATGGAAGCATCCTCAGGTAGTGTAAATTCAAGTTTGTTCAAATCATGACCCCCGGGGGTAGGGTGGGGCCACAATGGAGGATCAAAGTTTAACATAGAAATATATAGGAAAAATTTTAAAAATCTTCTCAGAAACAGCAAAGCCCTGATTGGTCATATTTATGTGGAAGCATCCTTAGGTAGTTTAGATTCTATTTTGTTCAAATCATGACTCCCGGGATTAGGATGGGGCGACAATGGAGGATCAAAGTCTTAAATAGAAATTTTAGGAAAATATCTTCTTCTGAAGAACTGCAAAGCCATGATTAGTCATTCTGATGTGGAAGCATCCTCAGGTTGTGTAGATTCAAGTTTGTTAAAATGATGACCCCCGGGAATAGGGTCGGACCATAATGGAGGATCGAAAATTTTACATAGGAACATGTAGGAAAATATCTTCTTCTCAAGAACAAAAAATCATGTTTAATCATTTTGATATGGAAGCATCCTCAGGTAGTGTAGATTCAATTTTGTTCGAATGATGACCCCCATAGGGTGGGGCCACAATGGGGGATCGAAAGTTTTGCATAAGAAAATATAGAAAAAAAATTCTTCTCAAGAACAGAAAAGCTATGTGCAGTCATATTGATATGGAAGCATCCTCAGGTAGTGTAGATTTAAATTTGTTCAAGTGATGACCCCTGGGATTGGGAGGAGCCACAATGGGGGATCAAATTTTTACAGGAAAATTTTGAAAAAAAATCTTGTCAAGTACAACAAAGCCATTTGTTATATTGACATGGAAGCATCATCAGGTAGTTTAAAATTCAAGCCCCCCCCCCCCCCCAGTAATCTTTTCAATACTGAACTCATTTGTGCTTTTTCCTAGCCAGTGTGCTCAGGTGAGCGATGTGGCCCATGGGCCTCTTGTTCTTAAATTAGTGTTTAGCTCAGTTTTAAAGATACCATTCAAGATAGTGTAATCAAACTTCATATGTTGATACATACTGATGTAAGCTATCCAACTGCATCAACATTTTTTGACCTTAACCTCTCTTTTGACCTTGACCTCACTTTTCTTAAATAAGTGTTTAGCTCAGTTTTAAAGATACCATTCAAGATAGTGTAATCAAACTTCATATGTTGATACATACTGATGTAAGCTATTCAACCACATCAACACTTTTTGACCTTGACCTTTTTTGACCTTGACCTCACTTTTCTTAAATTAGTGTTTAGCTCAGTTTTAAAGATACCATTCAAGATAGTGTAATTAAACTTCATATGTTGATACATACTGATGTAAGCTATTCAACCGCATCAACATTTTTTGACCTTGACCTCACTTTTCTTAAATTAGTGTTTAGCTCAGTTTTAATGAAACCATTCAAGGTATTTTTAACAAACTTCATATGCTGATACATACTGATGAGAGCTATTCAACTGCATCAATATTTTTTACCTTGACCTTTCCTTTGACCTTGACTTCATTTTTCTTAAATAAGTTTTTAGCTCAGTTTTAAAGATACCGTTCAAGATAGTGTTATCAAACTTCATATGCTGATACATACTGATGAGATCTATTCAACTGCATCAACATTTTTTGACCTTAACCTTTACTTTGACCTTGACCTCACTTTTTCTTAAATTAGTGTCAAACTTCATATGCTGATACATACTGAAGAGAGCTATTCAACTGCATCAATATTTTTTGACCTTGACCTTTCCTTTGACCTTGACCTCACTTTTCTTAAATTAGTGTTTAGCTCAGTTTTAAAGAAACCATTCATAATATTTTTTCAAACTTCATATGCTAATACATACTGATGTAACCTTTTCAATGACTTTCCTTTGACCTTGACCTCACTTTTCTTAAATTAGTGTCAAACTTCATATGCTGATACATACTGATGTAAGCTATTCAACTGCATCAATATTTTTTCACCTTGACCTTTCCTTTGACCTTGACCTCACTTTTCTCGATTTGTGTTAAAATGTTGCAATTATAATATACCCTCGGCGGGGCATTCATGTCCTATGGACATATTTCTAGTTTTCCTATATATTCCTATGTAAAACTTTGAGCACCAATTCTGGCCCCACCCTAACCCAAGGAGTCATCATGATTTTAAAAAAAAATGAATCTACACTACCTGAGAATTCTACCATATAAATATGACTAATCATGGCTTTGAAGAAATCTTAAGAAGATTTTCAAAGATTTTTCTGATATATTCCTATGAAAAACTTTGACCGCCCATTGTGGCCCCATCCTACCCTCAGGAGTCATGATTTAAACAAACTTGAATCTAAACTATGTCAGGAAGCTTTCATACAAGTTTCAACTCTTCTGAGCCATACAGATGTTCTTCGAGATATCTTCAAGATATCTCAAAAAGTTGTGATGAAATTAGATGAAAAAAGGTAACTTGAAGAATGTGGAAAAATATTTTGATGTAGATCACACTTTATGTACTTTTTGTATGTTATAATCTTTGTTTTTTTTTTCCTTCTGCTTGCTCCAATTGTTTTCAACGAAATTTTGGGCAAGGAAGATTATTTAAAATGACTACATTTGGTAATGACCAATATTTGCTCCCAAAATGAAACGTTGATGGAGAAATCTATAATTATGTTCTAAACCAGGTGGATATCTGCAGACTATTTTCATCAGTCATGATGCCGTATTCGAGATAAGATGCAGGAGAAAATGATGTAAATTAAAAATTTTGTTAATTTATAGTAAAACATAGGTAATCAAAGATTACGAAGCTCACCTCGACGAATGTTATCTACATGTAAGGCAAATTTCACATCATATTTTTTTCTAGTTAGGGTACATCCCAAGATCAATATCCATGCAAGTTTGATTTAATTATAGATCTGCTCAAAAAACTTTTGACCTGTTTAGTAATCAAGAAAATTTTGGTCAGTTCCAACATCCAAAGCAAGTCTGGAAGTTTTCATCCTTAGATGCACCATCTATGCAAGTTTAATCATAACAGGCCATAATATTATATAGCTACTCCAAAAAATTACCCTGGTCACTCATCTGGAAAATGTACGTCAGATTCAGAATCCAAGGCAAGTCTGGAAGTATCCATCCCTAGATACATCATCCATGCTAATTTGGTTAAAATATGGCTAAAATTCACTCATGTGGAAAATCTAGGTCAGACCCAGCATTCGAAGCAGGTTGGTTAGTGTACATCCCTAGATGCATCATCCATGCAAGTTTGGTCCAGGTAGGGCTTATAGTTACTTGGGAACGAGACTACTCCTAAATCTAAACCTGGTCTCACATGTGGAAAATCTAGGTCAGATCCAGCTTCCGAAGCAAGTGTGGTAGTGTCCATCCCTGGATGCATCATCCATGCAAGTTTAGTCCAGGTAGGGCTTATAGTTACTTTGGAATGGACCTGCTCCTAAAACTTTAACCTGGTCACTCATCTGGAAAATCTAGGTCAGATCCAGCATCCGAAGCAAGTGTGGTAGTGTCCATCCCTAGATGCATCATCCATGCAGGTTTGGTCCAGGTAGGGCTTATAGTTACTTGGGAATGGACCTGCTCCTAAAACTTTAACCTGGTTAACATCTGGAAAATCTACATCAGATCCAGCATCCGAAGTAAGTGTGGCCATGTCCATCCCTAGATGCATCATCCATGCAAGTTTGGTCCAGGAAGGGCTTATAGTTACTTGGGAATGGACCTGCTCCTAAAACTTTAACCTGGTCACTCATCTGGAAAATCTAGGTCAGATCCAGCATCCGAAGCAAGTGTGGCAGTGTCCATCCCTAGATGCATCATCCATGCAAGTTTGGTCCAGGTAGGGCTTATAGTTACTTGGGAATGGACCTGCTCCTAAAACTTTAACCTGGTCACTCATCTGGAAAATCTAGGTCAGATCCAGCATCCGAAGCAAGTGTGGTAGTGTCCATCCCTAGATGCATCATCCATGCAAGTTTGGTCCAGGTAGGGCTTATAGTTACTTGGGAATGGACCTGCTCCTAAAACTTTAACCTGGTCACTCATCTGGAAAATCTACATCAGATCCAGCATCCGAAGCAAGTGTAGTAGTGTCCATCCCTAGATGCATCATCCATGCAAGTTTGGTCCAGGTAGGGCTTATAGTTACTTGGGAATGGACCTGCTCCTAAAACTTTAACCTGGTCACTCATCTGGAAAATCTAGGTCAGATCCAGCATCCGAAACAAGTGTGGTATTGTCCATCCCTAGATGCATCATCCATGCAAGTTTGGTCCAGGTAGGGCTTATAGTTACTTGGGAATGGACCTGCTCCTAAAACTTTAACCTGGTCACTCATCTGGAAAATCTAGGTCAGATCCAGCATCCGAAGCAAGTGTGGTAGTGTCCATCCCTAGATGCATCATCCATGCAAGTTTGGTCCAGGTAGGGCTTATAGTTACTTGGGAATGGGACTTGCTCCTAAAACTTTAACCTGGGACGCCGACGCTAACGCCGACGCCGACACCGACGCCGGGGGTATAGCATAAGCTCATCTCGACTTCGTCGAGGTGAGCTAAAAAGGTGTATATGTCAATGTTTTGACTTAAAGTCACTGAGCGCAGGTCTGCTCCAACTCAATGTTTTGATATAATGTGTAGAATGATGATATCAATGAAGTATGTAAATATTGTAATGGAGCAGGTTTGCATTCTATAAATTATATAGTAAAAAGTGAACAAATGTTGTCCACTTTGTTCTCTTTCTGAAAAATAATGCAAAATCCAAATAGTTTGTGATGTCATAGAAACAAAAAATGTCAATTACCTACTTCAAAACTACAATATTTTTGGTTAATTCAGATATTTTTCATACTAAAGAATTAAGCACATTTCCAGAAATTTTCAATATTTGACTTTTGGGGGGCAAAAATATGCATGTAGAACTATATAGCTCTTTACAGGAACACTTTATGATAGAGGTAGACAAGAATTTTTATATTTTGAAAATTTTGCATCAGGATCATCTTTGAAAGCTGATGGTTCAAATCTGAATTATACAATCCTTGTTTAAATCTGCCAAGAGTTGTATTTGGATCAGAAACCTTTGGCATCACACGAAAAGGGACACAACTCTAGTTTGATTACTTGGATTTGTACAAGGTTGACAGTATTTGTGCACTCTGGGTACCTCCAGTTTAACATTCTGCTATGCTTAATAGTTGATTGTGTTGTTTTAGAAAATTAACTGTGTCCACATATATATTTAATGATTTATTACAAAAATTATTTATATAAATAATATAAATGTATACAGTTAAAAGCATTCCAATCTAAAGTAATACATGTACATGGTAAATTCAAGAAAGCGGAAAGAACCCCCCGCCCCTTTCACAAGTGTTGTCCTAATGAACACACAGTGAAAAAACTTTAAGACAATAACTTGTAAATTATCAATGTATTGCTGTTTAAAAATTTTCAGATGTAAATATAGTCAGATATTGTGTTACTTTTTTTAAATAAATGTACATTGTACTTGTAATTGAACATGTCTTAATCAAAGTAAAATGACAGAGGTTATATCGCTTACAATTCTAACATTAGGAATGCACACTCTATATGATAGACCAGTGTGGGAAAGTCTAACATCAACTTGAGGATTATGTATGTTATGACTAGAAAAATTTCACTCCTTCATTTCCATCAAAGTTCATGAGTTCTGCCTTCCCTTGATCTTGTAGACTCTGTAGAGCTCTGAGTAATAACCATTTTTCCAGTCCATGAAATTCTAAAATGTTTCATAAAAATGTAAATGGAAATGCATTCTCAGACTTTATTTTTTATGAACAAGTCTTAAAATATGAGCTAGTGTTAGAGAATTACAAGTATAACACATTACTAACAAAGTACAGCAACTGAATTGATGAAATCAACACAGCATTGAATCAGCAATATAAATAGCAGTCACCTGTTCCCTCTGAGTCCTCCCCTTCAGATAATTCATACAGTGTACACACAGAGTTCTGTAAACTCTTAGATGTTACCTGTCAACACAAACAATATAAATTATTAATTTAACTTTACTACATCATGATCTTACTAATAGGTGTAATACAATTATCTTATTGGGTTAAAATGAAGCAGTGTGATGTGTCACAGTGAACCACTAATAAGGGAAAGTGGCATTTCAAAACAATGCTAGCGCTTGAAAATGCATTGTATTAATAAATTCTTGTGCCTTAATTTCATGAAAAGTAGGTTGTGAAGGTCAAAATTTAATAAGTTTCTGTAACTCATCATCAAACATCAAATTTCAGGGGAGGGGGAAACATGTATGTTAATTTTATCTATGTGCAAAAAATTTCTGTGAGTTTTGATGTGAACTTCTCTTTCTGACAAGTATTTCTCATGAACTATTTACATGTATTCATGGTGTACAATGTATTTTTAAAAGTAGGATAATTTCTCAGTAGCAAAAATTATGGATAGATTTCAAACTGACAATTCAAAAATAAAAGTTGTTGCAAATAATTGCATTATTGAGTTACTCTGTGAAGACAAGTGATTAAGTGATTGTTTGAGGAAGCTGGTTTGAAGCTCTGTATTTCGAGTGGTCGAAGGGTGAAATGGTGTAAAAAAAACATTGCAGATAAAAATTTCTCTAATAGGAGAAGAGGCTACACTTTATCTATTACATGTATAAATAACAGGATGGAATTCATAATTAAAGAGAAATGATGTGTTTTTAAACATCAAAGATACTTTTGTTTTATTAAACTGAATAAAAATAACTGAATGGCACCATACTCTACTTACCCAGCTATAGATTATTTTCCCCCATTCCTCCGGAGTCCTCCACATAATTAATCCCTGTTTTTTTGCTTTAGGATCCTTCCATTCTATATGACCTGCAAAATTCTCAAATTACATCTCATAGCATCCAGGTCATTTATAGATTTAAACTGATGATAAAAGGGGCTAGATGTATTTAATTATTAACAGAACCACAAGTCTTGATTGTTTAACAGTTCAACATAAATATCTTAAGTACACTACATTGTACATAAAATCTTAAATTCTGTGTGTCATAAAATGGACAACTTTCAACAAAATTTAGCTTTCAAACTGTACCTTGTTTTCTCAACTCTTCTAACACAGTATGAATACCATCAACAGGTAATTTGCCTTTAATTGGTTAAGAAACATTTCCTTTCTCTTAAAAAATGTATTTGTATGTCAAATCATTTTTATCTTGTATTTTAACTTGAAAGGGGTGGGGGTGGGGGTAATGAAATCAAAAGTATGAGAAAAACTTTAAATATAATTCAACACATTCATTAACACTTTTATGCTACTCCAAAGCAAATTACTAAAACTTTGAAATTGTCAATTTTTATGAAAAAGGATACGATTAATTTTTTTGTTATAAAATAGTGGTGATGACTGAATCTCAGTAATGTCTATGCTGTAGGATTTGTTTTTTCTGTGGTAGTCCAAAATCAATGCACACCAAGCTTCCAGCTGCTTCTTCCTAGTGTCAAGATTGGGTTGAATTCTGAATAACAAAACAGTGGAATTCAACACATGAAAAACTTGGATTACATCCATCAATATTGGTAGAGCAAGGTTTAAGGACTGTTATGGTGGTGTCATAAAAGTTCCATCTTACTTACATCTTCTTGGAAATGTAAGAGTAGCATTCATATAAGCTAGTAGTCTTGACAGAGACACCAACCAAAAACTAGTATACATGTACAATGATTTTTCCTTGAAATATTGAAGGCTGTCTTTTGACTATTCATTTGGTAAAATTATACACCACTATATGTGCTGTCAATTAAACATGACATATTACTTTTTATCTCATACCTGTGGTGTATACTACCCATTAGATAAACCTATGCTTAATCCATGGATATGCTTTATCAATAGCACTTATGGTGTGAATAATCCCAAGCTTCAAGATGCAAATTTATCAACTCTTCTGTTTTTGAGAGTTCTTGTACATGTATTATGAAATGAATCCTTATGGACACATGTTCATTCAAAAATACGAAAAGACTCAGTATACCTCAATATATTTCCATTTCTATTTTTTTCTCTGTGATAACTCTTTGAAAGTTAGTTGAGTTGATTTCTTGATCATTCTACCGGATGTAAATTTCGCCTAGCGAAAGGTCAGGAGCTATGAAGGCCTTATATGTATGTGATTCTTGTGCGGCTGTCTTTGTGTTTGACGTCAGTGGGCGGGGACTATCAAAATCGACATGTGAGGCCTGTATATGCCCGTTATGCAAATTATCCCACGTTTCCAACCATCATTGATGTCCTGGCATACTCTACTAACTAGACAGTGATTCCTTAAGAAATGTCAAATCTATCAATATCGTACTGCTAAATGCAATGACAGCAGCCCCTCATTCTCATAGGAAACGTACAAGTTAAACATTAGGCCTAGTAGTTAAGTAATGTTGGTGCAAGATTCCTTTGACCACGCAGGAAAGTCTAGACACTTTCAACAATGTTTTCTTACATTATACTACACATAAAACTTGCCCTGGAGTTACAGGTAGCCAGTACTAGCACCGTCACTGTAAACAGAATGATTTCAGAGAAGGATTTATGATTCCTTGGTCCTTACAAACTTCCAGTCAAAAGTTTGTATGAAAAAAAAAACTCAAACATACTTAGGTTGTCACATGTTTGAAAAGATGCAGCGGTCAAGATATCATTCCAAGATTTCATACTTTGTACATGATCTACAAATAGCTTTATTTTGGCAACGTCAACAATTCAACGTCATCAATTTACACGTCATCAGTTTGGGTAGAAATCATTCCTAGTTTCACAGGGGTTATCTCAAAAACTTGTTAAAAAAAGGAAATAGTATGACATAAATAGAACATCTATAATTGTGTGATTTGATATTTGCTTTATCCAACTCGTTGAAATGGTGTATATTTGCTCAGCAAGCCACCTGAATATACATGTACAATATTTCACTGAGTTCGATACAGAAAATATCAAATCACACAATATAGATATCCTCTGTGTGTCTTGGTTCTCTTTATCAAATTATACCTTAGTGATTACCGTGATTAATTACCATAACTGTCAACATCTACATGTATTTCAATTTAAGTTTTTTCATTACCAAGGTCTTTGATTCTTTTCTTTTTTAGTTTTTTTTAGGAGTCGATGATAAGCCCAACCTTTACCAACTCTGACTATTTAGTGTTTTCATTGTCTTACTACCCTACTGGAACTTCCTGGTTAGCAGGTAAATCTGTCTACATTTCTTGACAAAGTAAACAGCTCAATACCATGAATACAGAGTGTGCGGTAGTGTTGGTTTCACTCTTTATCGTATTTAAGCAATATCTATGTGAAATAATATTTTAAAATGATGTAAGGAGATAATAAAATTCCAATTTAACTTTAAACTTACGTAAAAAAGGGTGGAAAATTGTACTGCCATGGCCATTCGAAATCAGCCATTGCAAGGAAAAACGAAAGTAGAAAACTAAAAATAAACCAACGTTTCCGGAATACGCTAGATGCGCATTCATAAGCACGTCGCATTAGCTAGCCTGGATCAGGAGAATAAAAATCAACCCATTGAAGAAAGAGGCCAGTAATAATAAAAAAATCGGAATAATTAAAAGAAAGATATGGCTTATAACAGTTGTATCAGAATTTTCATTTAAAAGATAGTCGCACGAAAAATATTGAATTCTTCTTCAAGTTGATCACCTTTTCATTTCAGTTGACAATAAAAGTATATATTTGTTTTTTTTTTTTTGGCCCAAGATTACCATTAATACAGATTCTCATTAAAAATATGAATAAATTTATAATGATACAGTAATACGACGATATTTGTATTAATAGGTTTTTACAACGCTTGGATCTGTAGCCCTCTGCTTTATCTGTCCGAATTTTCTCAAGCAGAGAGCTACAGTTCTGCAGCTAACAAAAGGGTTGATTAAAACAAGGAGATTGTCTTCACTCTACCTGGAATAAAAAGATCAATTTGAAAATGAATGTGAAACAGACTATATAGACTAAAACTCTCTCTGACAGTTGTTATGAAGAAGAAAATATAATATCTGTCACATTTTTTTGTGTGTGCCTTGTTGTGCTTCTTCTATAATGACATATATATACATTTCCACAATTAAATGCATTATCATCATATTCTGTATACCATTCACAAAGAAGAACGCATACTTCACAAAATGTAGCTATATATATCTCGCACCTACTGTAACCAACTTCCGGTAGTGAGTTATCTTTACATCGAACCATAGCGGTAGTTGAAAGGCCTACAAGCTTATCTTTTAAAAAGATTGGTGAGCTAGCGCTGTAGCATAATAAAATACATAAGAAGATATCCGAACCATTTGTTAAATTTGCTGAATCGATTAATTATTAATAGGAAGGCAGATTGGTGCACTGGGGGTTGAGTTTGTGTGTGTGTTGGGGGGGGGGGGGTGTCACAATTCAGAATGGTGAATCTAAGAGTGTGCTTCACGTCGGCAATGGCATAACTCCTAACTGTGCTTTAAGCATTCTGTATTTTACTGTAATTTCAATTTCGAGGTGAAAAATAAAAGGTCAGTAGAACCAATGAGCACCTTCGGGCCTTTCCGACAAGCTCGGAAAACATATCCGAGGTTGCCGCGGTTTTCCGAGCTTGCCGGAAAGATCCATGAAGGTAGATTAGAAAAAGCTATGTATTCATTACAACTTTAGAAATAACAGTCTTGGTTTCATAAGACCCGAGTTACTGTTACTTTTTGTTCATTTACGTGCAGGTTAGACAACAAAACACGAAACTTCAGATCATATGTATTTTCAGATGATAAACACTAAATTGCCATGTCTTTCCCATATACTCTGAAAAAGATTTTTGTTGTTGTTTTTGTTTTTTCCGAGCTTGCCGGAATTATCCACTAAGGTGGTAAAACTGTAAGGAAAGCTAGATGTCTAGAATCTTGGCATTATATGGCCAAATTTTTTCTTGTACTTTTATGTGGAGGTTAGACAATAAATTTAAAAAAAATTCAGAATCCGGATCTAGACTGGTATTGACTGTCTCTAACCTACGAAATGTATATCGCGCATATCAGACAGGAAAGGCCAGTGTAAATTCGGATCATTTCTATTTTTGTATGACAAAACGAAATTGTTTTCGTACAGTCCATTACAGTAGTTTTCCCAGAATCCCCGACCGTGAAGTCGAGCATGCGTATTTCAGAAATATAGACACGTAGTTGCTAGCGCTCGAGAGCGCTAGCAATAAAAGGTATTATTTATTTATCTTAAAGCGGCAGTACGGCTGCAAAATGTGTGCTATTTCATCCAAATTTACCCAATAATTATTGTCATTAAGAAATAAGGTATACAGTTGATGTAAGCAGTTTGAGAAACAGAAATATTCTCCACTCAAGCAAAATTAACGTAATTAGAATCTGCCGGAAAATCAAGGGTCGTACGAACTGGAGCAATCTTAGATCTGTTTATTTGTACCACGTGAATTCTAAAACGGCACGTGCCTACACTGTAGAGTTTACAGTTATAATGAATATTAGGTGAAAGCAATTTTCAAAAACACAAATTATCATAACTTTCTGATAAAATAATCTAAAATAATAATCGTAAAGATTTTAGTCTGCATTCAGGCGAATTTAACAGAATTAAAAGTACAAATGTTTACGTTTTGTGTATTGGGGTCCGAGAAAGGGAAAACCAACTAATCATACGTTATCGCGGCAAACGTCAAACAAAATATTTTTCTGCACAGTTAAAAAAAATTAGCATTTCAAATGGCAACAATGTTTTTAAGTCAAAGATGTATTTTTAATGTTGAGTTTACACTATTTTTTTTCTTTGAAAGCGACGGAAAAATGAGAAATGATAACAAGTATCAACAAACCTGTCGAATAGAACCTTCGAGAGCCCTGCGTGAGTGTCGCCGAGTTCCCGTTTCTTCCTTATCCAGCGATTTTATTAATCCCCAAACTAAATTTTAGTCATGAAAGTTGCTTTTTCAAGTTCTATTTTCAGTTTCTTTTTCTTTTTGGTCGACTTGGTCAATGTAGCAGGCCTACCGGGATTCCCCCTCTAACCATGCTGTTTTGTTTATGAAAACTACGCATGCGTGCATAGCATGGAATGTGGAACCCCGAACACGTTGCGATGTATATATTTACGTCCCATAAATAACTATTAATTTTAATGAAATAATCCAAATTATTTAATTGTAAAAGTTGTAATTTTCTGAAAGTTTATACATTTATGAGTAGTAAAAAAATTCCAAATCTTGTCGGAAAATTTTATCTAGTCAGTTTTTTGATGAGATGCGCCGTACTGTCACTTTAAATCATCTTAAATTCACTTATCTTATAACTCCATAAACGACAGCCAGCTGGTTACTGCCACTGAACTGCTCATGCATTGCCACTGCCAACTGCTTCAACGTACTGTCAACTAACAATTGGCACTGCCAACTGCTTACTGCCACTGCTTGTAGATTGACATTTTTTTAATCCTCAGAACGCATGCTTGGTTAAATTAATATTACAATTAGAAAGGTGATAAAAAGGGGCGGATCCATAATTGCTTATAGGGGGAAGAAGAAAAAAAGGATATACTGAACTTCAAAATTTCCTGATAAGTAACGTAACCTAAAACCTATTATGACAGTAGAAGGAGATGCACTATGAACACCTAATATAAAAACAGAAAAAGAAGGTAAGGCCCTTCCTAATGGAAAGGGGGGGGGGGGGGTAAACCATATAATTATTAGGGTTCTGGCTAACATTTGTGTAAAATTATAATTAGAAACTATATGTGTACTACTTAATTATTAGAAACACTATGGAAAATCATTTTTACTTTTGCCTAGAAAAAAAAATATCTTGTAATACCCGAAGCGTTTTACTCTACTGGTCAGAGACGTCTATCCGTCTGTCTGCCTGTAAAAAAAAATTCAAAATGCTACTCCTCCTCCAGTTTTGGTCTGATTTCAATGGAACTTGGTACACAATTAGACTACACTGAGATACACCCTCATTAATATTCATCAGTTTTTGATTTCGATGAACGGTGTTGCCATGGTTACTAAAATTAGAAATTTCTATGAAACACTTTCAAAACATCTATTCCTCCAACAGATTTGGTCTGAATTTAATATAACTTGACACACAAGTAGAATACACTAAGATACATAATTCTTTTATCGGTTTTAGATTTCTGTGAAGTGTTGCCATGGTTACTAAACATAGAAATTTCTGTGAAATACTTTCAAAACCTACTCCCCTACAGTTTATAATATAACTTGGCATGCAAGTAGATTTCACTGGGATACATGCATGATTCTCGTTTTTTTTATTTTGATGAACGATGTTGCCATGGTTACTAAAATAGAAATTTCCTGTAAAATTCTTTCTAAAGGTTACTGCTATGATTTTAGTCTGATTGCAATAAATTATGCCACAGAAAGAGATTAAACCAAGGATCATTGTTATATTTATTGCAGTTGAAAAGTTTAAAGTCCAAGTGCCACTTTTCTCTTCCAGTGTACAAATCAGTAGAGCTACAGTCTCGTCAGCGAATTCTCTTTTTTTTTTCAAATACTGTCATATATCACAAGACGTTTTACCCTATATGCAAAAGTTTTGATTTTTCATAATTGGTCTATTTTGAATCGTATGATCTTATGTTACCCAGGACCCTATATAGAGACATTACTTCTTACTAATCCCTCTGAGTGACCTCCCCTACGCATATATTTTCTATGAAATGAATATGAAAAAACAGAATTTTCGTAAAGTTAAATAACTTGTGATTTAGACATAATGGCAGTTTTGATTAATCAGCCAAGGTTGTCCAGGACGCTAATAAGTGTTATAGAATGTGACACCCTACCCTGTTGATTTTTTCCTTACAAATTAGAAAACTGAGAGTAAGACTTCTTTTTTAACTCAATTTTACTTTCGTTATTCTGTATTAGCGTGCCTTCCCCTCTTCCCCGAAATAACTTTCAGATTATGTTGCTTGTCCTGAAATTTTGGAGTTTTCTGTTTTGTTTTCAAGTGGATATGTATTTCCCCATTTTATGCCAAATCAGATAAATTTGTTTTTAAGTATTTTCGAAATTTGTTGTTAGATTACCATTAACGTCTTTTTCTAATAAAATATCCAAATATGAAACAGATGTGTCAGACTCTGTGGTATCTTTTATCTCAAGCTCAGCGGGACATATCGTATCGACATAAAAATGGAAATAATCATTGTTAATTGACAATGCGTAGTCGAGATATACATGTATATCTAAATGTCGAGTTGAAGGCCACTGCAAGTGATTTTCTACTTTTCACGTAAAAGATTTTGAACAAATTCTGCTTCATATGAATACAAAAATAGGTTTGCTAATAACGGGGCGCAATTGGTACCAATGAGAATTCCAATAGATTGTTGGAAGACCTGGTCTCCAAAAACCACATAGATATTGTCAATCAGAAACTCAAGCATCTTTTTAATGTCAACTTCAGGGTACTATTTGTACAATCAGATTGTTTTTTAACAAAATAATTTTGCAAATGACCAATGACAAGGTAAGTAAATTTAAGAATTCCGTTTTTATTGAAAAAAAAACAGCTGTCAACGATGTCAGAAAGTCTGGACTTTAATTTATCGTGGGGAATAGTTGTATATAAAGTTGAAAAGTCGTAAGTTTTTATGTTGTTAATTTTGGTAAAATTTTGTGATTTCAAATGTTTCAAAAGTTCCTTTGAATTTTTTAGTATCCACATCTGATTTACACCACTTCTCGAATATATTGTTGCATAGTACTCTTGAAGTTTCTCCTTCACTACGTATACTGTTAATATCTTAGAGAGGAGTAAAGAAAGAGGCTTGGTAGAACATTTACTGGAACCCGCTATGTATCTTTGTTTGTATGGATTTTTATGAAGTTTCGGAATCCAATATAGATATGGTAATTCAAATTCATTTTAGTTGTTGGGAATATTAAAAATATTGAAAACTGTCATATGATTTTGAAGAATTTCCTCCTTAGAAAGGGAACTATGGGTATAGGTTGGATTACCACTTGTAGAATTAAATCCCAGCTCCTCTAAAATACAATTTATATAATGAGCCTTACAAACAAAGACAACGTTGTTACCTGCTTTGTCACAAGGGTCCAGTACGTACTGATCCTGTAATCTAATTCTTTTTTCGAATTCTATCTAATTCTTTTTTCACTTCTAAATTATTGAATACAGAAGGATAGATGGTTTTCATACTGCCCCTCAATCGCTTCATGCGAGATTTTAACATACATCTGATACATTTAATCCATTCTGACAAAGTGTCAAGGTCTTCTACAACATACATTCTAGAAGTTGCCAATGCATGCCAATGTATGTACTTCTTAAAAAAAATCCAAAGAACATTTACACAATTTAAAATCACAAATTTAAAGAAAATCAGTAGCATCAAAACAGCTTTTCAATATTTTAGACAACTATTCCTCGCGATAAGTTCAAGACCAGACTTTTGACATCATGCACACCTCCTTTTTTTTATTTTATTTTTTTTTTTTAGGAAATCAAATCTAAAATTTCATACCTTGTAATTGGTCATAGAAAAACTCTCTTCATCAAAAATCATTCTTATTCTAAAGACAAGTTCGTGTACATGTATTCCGAAGTTGATATAAAATGATGCTTGAGTTTCTTATTGACAATATCTATACAGTATTTGGAGATCAGGAAAAAGAATTATTAGAATTCTCAAGGGTACTATTTTTGCCCATGAATTAAAAGATCTGTTGTTGTCTTCTTATGGAAGACTATTTATTCAAAAACTTCTATCTAAAAGGAAGAAGTCTTGTTGTGACCTTAAGCTTCAATTCGACACTTACATATCGAGGATGTTTTATCAATTCGCAATATTCATTTTCATTCAAACATTGATTCGGTATTTTCCACTAAACTAGAAACCACAGTTTGACACAACAGTGTTCCATATTTGGATGTTTTACGAGAAAAAATGGCAAAATAATATCTGAACTTATGATAAACGTAATGACTTCAACTTTTTCTATCATCAACTTCCCTTATTTGTGTACCAATATTCCAGTCTCACCTGTTGATGGTGTGTATGTCTCCCATTTGATTTGATACGCGAGAGTGTTATGCGAACGAACAATTTCTAAGGCGAGGCAAAGTATATGTACTGGTATTACCAAATTGACATAAATAATTTAACTAAAATGGATATTGGCTAATCCGAATTTTCTCTATTTTTCTTAAAATTTTAAGATATTTTAGTTGTTTTTATATGCTTTCTATATTTAAATTTTTCTTATTTTCACATATGGTAAAGTTGTCACATAAAGATACAAAATGATATAAAAACAAAAAGTTTTGACCGTTTACTAAGAGAGAAAAAACACTTTTTACGGATTTTTGGCTCAAATCTGAACTTAGATTGGAAGCTTTTAAAAGCTAACATAATTGTAGTTTGTTTAGAAAATCATATTTATTTGATATATTTTAAAACTTTAGTCCCTTATTTTTAATTCAACTTACACTTAAAAATTTTCTCCAAGTCTTTGATTGTGTAAAAATTATAACTAAATTCATTGTTCTATAATTATTTTAGAGGCAGAAAAGAAGATATTTTCATACGCCGCCATTCAGCCAAAAATATAGTCCCTGCTAGATTTCAAACTCAGTTTACCATTTCTATTTAAAGTTGTACAATTGTGATGAGGAAAGAAAAATATCATCTTTTAAATCTCTTACATCTAAATATATAAAACATATAAGCAAATATACTTTGAATATTTCATCTAGTCAGAAACCAGACAAGAATCCCTCCTTAACGTTAACATTTCACAACCTAAATTCTATGGTTGATACAATGACCTTTTTTGCATAAAGAACATGTCATGTGGTCGAATGTTCACTGACGTTTTTAATACAATTCATTTCATACTTGAATTGTCTCCTGATTACTCTGTTTACTCAATCATGACGTCGCCCGCGTGGCGCAGTGGTAAGAGCGACTGCTCTAGAGTGGCGGTGTAAGGAGTTGATCCTTGCGTCACGGGTTCGAATCCACTGTGGGACGTGGAGACCGGTCCTTCGCATGAGACCGTATAAACCGTGGTCCCGTGTTGCAGTAGGTGCTGGCACGAAAAAGATCCCTCACTGCTCAATGGCCCTAAGTGCCGAGCATAGGTCAAAATTTGCAGCTCTCCACCGGCAAGTGGTGGCGTCTCCATATGAGTGAAAATTCTCGAGAGGGACGTTAAACAACAAACAAACAAACAAACTTAATCAAGACAACGGGCTAACGGGTGTGTGACAGTTTGACAGAGCATGATTACTCCTTTATGGCACCTGTTCTTATATAGATGTTTTTAGGGACTGTTTGCTCTGCTCTCAATATGTATTGTTTACTTGATTACTGTTACGGTTATTTTTCTCTTGACCTACATGTATACAAGGTACAGCCATGCAAACGTATAAATTATATGTATAATTCAAAATAAATATAAATCAAATATCAAATCAAGTTGCCAAGAAAACGACAATTTATTACTTTTTCTTCTTCACATTATATAAAAAAGTCTGGGAAATTAAACAGCAAATTTTAGTTAATTCACATTGAAATACATGTGGACATTCAACACGGATCCATGAAGCAGTAAGACGACAGTGAGCATTCTTGTGATGCCACCAGACACTGTAATACCTGTAATGATGTCAAAAATATACAGAGATAAAAATAAATTTTAGAAATACATAGTAATCGAGCTAGTAATGTGATGAGCATGTGAAACTAAAGGCATATGCATTCATTATCACTCGTTTTTGCTGTTTTCCGACATGTCGAAGAAAAAAGAAAAGAAAAAAATTCGAAATGCAGCTAAAATGAGTCTACCATTATTTTTTTTGCGGATTAACTTAAAAAAAAATCAAGTATAAATCTGATTGTTTTCTTTGTCAAATAGTTTTATTTCATATGTGTTTCAAATTAAGTGCAGGTATAATCAGATCAATTTTTTACCAGACGATCCTGAAGTGCATTCACAAGCGTCGGCAATAGCCTTTTCAATGATATATGAACTGCCGAGGATATCCGTATCACCACAGCTTTGGACAGCTTCGTAGAGACATGACACCATTGTTTTCCATTTACTTAAGAGAAAACTCAGAATCAATGTACATTGCAACTGCTCGTCGTAATGTTCCTCAAACTTTTTTTTGAGCTTCAACAGATGGCAGATGTACATATTAAGATTGCTTTATTCTGCTTTAAAAAATCATACAGGAAAAAATGAAATTGCAATTGAATGCATATTTTTTAGATAGTTCATCTACTATTTATTCGCGCATTTGAAAGGAAAAGATGTAATGTTCTTTCTAAACAAGAGCCCCATAGAACACAACGTTCACCTGACTTACATCACCTTGCTGTTCTTCTGCAAACATTTATTAGGGCCCCGGTGTTCTCGAGAAAAATATATTTCCCTATTAGTATCATATAAAATTTGATCCCCTTTTGTGGCCCTACCCTACCCTTGGAGGCATAATTTGACAAATTTTATTCTGCAACACCCGATGTTTTTATATCATTTTTATTGTTCTAATACAATTTTAAAGATTTCTTCCTCTACATTTCTATTTTAAATCTGATTTTCTACTGTGACCCTATCTCCGGGGCTATCTTTTGAACAAATCAGAATCTTTCCTATATCAGGGAGCTTTCACAAGTTTAATCTTTTCTGGCTCAGCGCTTCTTGAGTTTTTCCCTATATATCCTATATATTCTCAGTTATGAATTTTATCCCTGTTGTGTCCCCATCCTATCCCAGGAGGACATGATTTAAACAATTTAGAATCTACAAGTATATGTACACTACGCCACAAAGCTTTTATGAAGTTTCATCTTTAATGGCCAAGTGCTCCTTGAAAAGAAGATTCTTAACATGTTGTTTCCTATGTATTCCTATGTAAAATTTGATATCCTTTTGTTGCCCTACCCTGTCACCAAGGGCCATCAATTTTACAAATTCATTTATTCATTTTGTCAGAAATCTTTCACATCAAATAGGTGAAGTTAACGAATAGTGATCGATCTTAGAAAAAAAAAACTACAAACAATACAAATCCCTGAACTGGAAATAATCATTAAAATTTGCATTTATTAGAAGTTTCTGTTTTGTGGAATTGAGTAAATTCATTGAACAAGCAATTTCTATTTCTTAAAATGACTTAAAATGCCAAACCTGCAGACAAGAACATTGTTACTGTGGTCAGCAGTTATGTCTGCATAAGCCGTCGCATAGCAGACATCGATCGAAGGGCATTCACCTACTTTCAAAAGTATATGTAAGAATTCTCATTAATTTGCAAAGCTGTTGTATATGATAGTAGGTATTTCTAAATTAATGAGGTCGCCATTTACTCAAATCTTTTTTTAAAAAAAAAATGAAACAGTTTTTGACATAACTTATTAAATTATGATGTTTTTTTTACATATCTGGTGCATACGCGAGTTGAATTTTTTAAAGGAATAATGAGCATAATAATGAAAGAACATTCGACATATTATTCATCATCTTTCCGTCACAATCTTCCTAATTCGTGAAAATAAAACTTTATAAATGCAAAAATGATGCTAACACTAATAGATATACATAAAAAAATACCTGGAGGTTGTACGGTCGGGTTTACTATTTCTGTCACCAACTGAGCATTTGTTTCTGAATAATATTGTTCAAAGAAAAATTACGTTACTAAGTAATTATGCGCGAATAAATTGACTTCAACGTATATTAGCACATTATATAATACATAGAGATGGACACATTCCTGATGCAAATATATTCATATAACTGCATACAAGTAAGAAATGCAATTTATTTCTGGAAATGAGGAATACATTATCTTTTGATAGAATAATGAAATCAGCTAATAACCCTCTTTAAATAGTTGTTGACTAATTGTTTACTTGAACTAAGAAATGGAATTTCATAATTATGTTAGAATCAGTATACTTTGAAAACACTGGTAGAAAGTAAGAAATGTTTAAAACAAACCGAAAATCCTAATTAAATGATAAAAATACTTAATGGAAGATGAACGAATATTACAAAAACCTTAGAATTCTAGAATTAAAACTCACAGTAAAAAGAAAACATTTGCTGAGACTTTTTTTCGATACACAAGATAAATTACCATTTGGAACAGGGCAAGAGCCATTTTCACAGATTAATCTGTGTTTCTTCTAAAGTATTTAATTTTGCGAAGAAAAAAATGGAAAAATAATTTACTTTCAGTGTAAAAGGACTTTTACACCGAAAGCGTTTAGTAGAAGGTAAGTAATTATGGCATCATCTAATGTTAAATTCGGAGCAAACAAAATCTAATTCATGGTTTTCAATATAGTGCTGATTTGAAAGACACTTCAAAGATAATTATAAAAACATTCAGCTGTTTTATAAAACTAAAGTGTTATGCTATTAAATCCAAAAGTCCTACATAAAAATTCATACTTACTTTCACTTTCTTGAGTTGTGTTGGAGCAAAGGACGTATTCTGATAAACACAAAAGGTATATAACAGAAAAGGTATATATATATATATATATATATATATATATATATATATATATATATATATATATATATATATATCACAGAACAATTGAGGTCCAATTTTTTTCTTTATGGGTGTCCTCTTTTATTTGTGGGAATATTCTCTACTTGCTCAATTAAATATGCTCTTAATACAGAAAAATATTATCAATTTTAATAAAGGTTACAATATATTAAGTAAAATTATTTAACTAACTATCGAGGAAATTCTAAAACCACAATTAATAACCGAGTCCATTTTTTCATGGTAGTGAAATAAACAGTTCAAATAATGTACCTACCTGTAAAAAATAACATTGTAAAGAAAATCAGTCCACTAGTTGCTGAATTCATAGCTGCTTGGTGGCTTTTATAATTTGAAAATGAGAATTATTTATTCCGTAAAACAAATGCTTGTAAGCAATAGGAAAGTGACGGTTATCCGAATTTTTTTTTTTTACAAAGATTTACATGATTTACATTGGGGAGAGCTGACTGGAAGAAAGCAATAAGGATGGGACTAGTATTTAGAGGATAGTTGATAAAATACACATGGTAGTTGTTTTGTGAAGGTTATCATGTACAATAAAGAGCTCTCTAATTTGTTTATGGGTGTGCTGTTGTAAACTAATATGCAAAAGAAATGACATTTACATAACACTTTCTCCTTGTAGAAGAAAAGGAACTTGGATTTCTGCATATACACCGATATCATTGAATATTTTAAGGCCTTAGCAGGTGCATTATTCCTTACAAATATATCCTACTTGAACAAAAGGATACATGTAGCATGTACTTAAAAAATAACCATTTGAACTTGTAGTCGTATGATATTCATAATAAGTTTAAAGAACTGTATTCAAATTCATTAAGTATTGAAAGTTGAAGCAGAGCAAATGATGACAAAATTAAGTGTTTATGACTTCAGTAATAAGATGAGTGCATGGAATTGTTTTTGGGATTTAGTCATGAACATGAATAAAAGAATGTATTGCAAAAAGTTTTCGAAGGGTATCGGAGGTCTTTGATTTTTCTAAAATTCTTTATATACCATAAGACATTTCAGTTTCTAAAAAAACTCTCATTTTTGAAAAAAAGAGCTCCTAGTGGGTGTAAGAACCTTACTTATAATCATCGCACATTGCATGCAAACTGTGATAGATTTGAGACAGTACAATTCTGGTTTATATGCAAATCCTTGTTAAATTTTGTCAGCAAATGATTGAGAAAGAGTTGTATGAAAAAGCTTATGTACAATGAAAAAGGCGAAGATAACGAACAGTTATCAATCTAAAAAAAAATCAACAAACAATATAATCTTTGAAGAGGGCATAAAACACGGACCCCCATTAATTCCAGAGATGAGATAAGATGCCTAGGTGGAGAAAGCGTCCCCTGTTGACCGGTCACACCTGCTGTCAGCTATATGTATTGATAAGGTAGACGGAACATTTGGTAGTCAAATTAAGTATAAAAACAATGGCTTATAATTGGTATGAAACACATCAGCCAAAATACGACCGATGATAAGTTATATTTGTTAACAAGATCATTATAACGACCATAGAATTTACGAAATGCTGACTTTTAACGAGGTTGTTGAAATCCCTGTAACATCAACGTATCTGTAAGTAGCTTGCCTCGGTTTTAAAACTGATACCCAGAGCATGCTTGAGTATCGAATAAGTTGGGAGACATTAACACCATTTGCAGGTTATAGCGGAATCTAACTACTTAAATAAGGAAAATTGACGATGGAAAAGCTGAAGTCATCTCGTTTCTATACTATTTAGTTGTTAATTGGCCCTTTTCATCTATAGTCTGTAAAACATTCAAATATGAAACAGATGTGTCAGACTCTGTGATGTCTTTTATTTCAAGTTCACTGGGATATATATGCAAAAGCATGCTCTGCGTGTAAACAATATCTAAAACGAGTCAAGTTATTGACAAATGAGTTGATCAAACAAGGACATTTACAGTCTCGTTTAAAGTCAACATTTTGCAAATTCTACGGTCGATACAATGACCTTGTCAGCAAATACAATCGATCATTAAGGCGAATGTTTTTCATCCAAATTGATAGGGTCGCCCGCATAGCGCAGTGGTTAGAGCGTTAGCTCTAGAGCCGCGGAGTAAGGAGTTGATCCTTACGTCGCTGGTTCGAATCCCACTGTGGGACGTGGAGACGGGTCCGTCGGATGAGACCGAATAAACCGAGATCCCGTGTTGCAGTAGGTGCTGGCACGAAAAAGATCCCTCACTGCTCAATGGCCCTAAGTGCCGAGTATAGGTTAAAATTTGCAGCTCTCCACCGGCAAGTGGTGGCGCCTCCATATGAGTGAAAAATTCTCGAGTGGGGCGTTAAACAATAAACAAACAAACAAATTGATAGGGGTCACTGGGATATATCGAGTCGACATATGAATGGAAGTAACTATCGTTAATTGGTAATGCGTCGTCGATACTGCAGTATATCTAAATGTCGAGTTGAAAGCCACAGCAAGTGTTTTCTGTAAAAGTTTTTGAACAAATTTTGCTTCATTTGAATATAAAAATAGGTCTGCTAATAACGGAGCGCAATTGATAATCATGGGTATTCCGACAGATTGTTGGAAGACTTGATCTCCAGAAACTACATAGATATTGTCAATCAGAAACTCTAGTATCTTTTTAATATCAACTTCAAAGTACTTGTGTAAACAATCAGAATGTTTTTTCTAACAAAATAATTTTGTAAATGATGACCAATGACAAAGTAAGTAAAGGAGATGGGCGAACATAGCGTGCAGAAAGCCTATAGCTTCAGATATATAAAAATCATGTTCAGTTTGTGAATTTAGTATTTAGAGTAAAGTTCTCATTATTGAAATTTATGAAATTATGATAAACAAAACTTTTCTGAGGAAAATTTTATCGGCAAAATTTATTCTTTTATTAAAAAAATTAATGTGTTATTCGTGTGGTTCGAACCCTAGCAATAAAAATCCTGAGTATCATTTTTTTTTTCGAGACTAGCACGCTAACCACTAGACTACACAAGTCCTGATGAAGTGTGGCATTTAAATCATGTTTGTGATATGACCCTTGACTTAATGGACTTCAAGTATTTCTCGAAAAGCTGCGAATGTTATGTCATAAAAGTATATTTTTAATGTATAGTGGGTCATTGCTCCATATTTTTGGTAACCAAAAAATGTATATTATTATGCAAACTTTGAGGATTAACTTTCAAAAAGGTGAAGCTAAGACCCACCCATATCGAAAAATAGTATTATAGTATGAGAAAATGACTCTTTTAGCCCGCTTTTGTGTGTGTCTGATATTTCACAGGCAAATAATTTCAATCTTTGCGGGATTTTTGCAAATTGTAGAGATTTTACATAAAGTATATTTTTATGTTAGACGAAATAGCAAGGAAAATTTTGATATAATTAAAATTTAATTTTTCATCTTCATGTTTGTCACACTATAGGCTTATCGCTCGTCATGTTCACCCATCTCCTTTAATGATGTCAAAAAGCCCGGAATTTTAATTTATCGTGGGGAATGGTTGTATAAAGTGCTGAAAATCGTATATTTTGATGTTACTGATTTTGATAAAATGTTGTGATTTCAAGTTTTCTAAAAGTTCCATGTATTTAGGACCTTTTTCAAATAATTGCTTTTAGGTCATCATTTTCAATTATCTTAACATCACCAGTAATTACGTGTCCAGCGGGAATGTAGTTTAAAAAAGAAAAAGGCCAAGAACACTAATGAGGATTTTTTTTAAAATGTTCAATATCTAGGCACTGTAAGGTTTGTTTATAATTGAAAAGTTTGGAAGCAACAGTTTGGGTATCTGTAGGAAATGAAGGGTGTAGACTTCAAATTGAAATATGGTGGAATGCAAGACCGAACTTTTTTATGATTAAGAACGCTACTATGTTAACAGCTTCTATTCGTTTATGGGCAAATTTTAAGTTTAAGAAACCGATGGGTTGAGTCAGAGTTATCTTCCGACACCCATGGTGACTTAAAGAGCCTGTGCTGGGCAACATTCATAATCACAAACACTAGCTTGTATTCTGCAGTTGAAGAATCTACGGGTAAGAATGGACTTGCTTAAGCTTCTTCAAATAGTCCATTAAAAATTTTCAATTTATATCATTTTTTCCATGACCCACTTTTAGCAGAATAACAACCCTGTAATCTTTAAAATACCATCACGAAAATTGTGTTTTAGTGGCGTGGTTGTCCAATTAAAGCTGCATAAAGATTCGTGTTCGGGTTCTTCTTCTGTCACAGAAAGTGAGAATTGGGTTGGGGTAATGCTTTTTAGCTCATCTGAGCCGAAGGCTCAAGTGAGCTTTTCTGATCGAAATTTGTCCGTTGTCTGTCGTTGTCGTCGTCGTAAACTTTTCACATTTTCATCTTCTTCTCCAGAACCACTGAACCAAATTCAACCAAACGTGGCACATAGTATTCTTGGGTAAAGGGGATTCAAGTTTGTTCAAATGAAGGGTCACTCCCTCTTCCTAGGGGAGAAAATGCAGAAATAGTGAAAATTTGGTGATATCTTTAAAAAGAACCACTGGGCCAAAAAAGTTGAAACTTATGTGAAACCTTGTTTATATAGTGTAGATTCAAAATTGTACAAATCATGACCCCCGGGTGTAAGGCGGGGCCACAATGGGGGATCAAAGTTTTAGATAGGAATCCATAGGAAAAATCTTGAAAATCTTCTACTCAAGAACAGCAAAGCCATCATTAGTCATATTTATATGGAAGAATCCTCAGGTAGTGTAGATTTAAGTTTGTTCAAATCATGACCCCCGGCAGTAGGGTGGGGTCACAATGGGGGATCAAAGTTTAAATAGGAATATAAAGGAAAAAATCTTGAAAATTTTCTTCTCAAGGACAGCAAAGCCATGATTAGTGTGGAAGTATCCTTAGGTAGTTTAGATTCAGGTTTGTTCAAATCATGACCCCTGGGGTTGGGTGGGGCAACAACAGGGGATCAAAGTTTTTAAAGTTATAAAAGAGAATATAATGGATATATCAATAAAAAATTTCTTCTCAAGAACATCAAAGCTAGTCTTATTAACTTAGAAGCATCCTCAGGTAGAGTAGTTTCAAATGTGTTCCAGTTATGTCCCTGGAGGTAGGGCAAGGTCTCAATAGAAGATCAAATGTTGGAACCACATTTATATTAATTTTTTTCAATACTGAACTGATTCCTTCCTTGTTCCTAGCCAAAGACCGTCACGGTAGCTCAGTCGGTAGAGCGCTCGCTTCGTGATCGGAAGGTCCTGAGTTCGAATCTCGGCCGCGACTGATAAAAAAAACTAGCAACTGTTCCTTCGCCATGCGCTCGGCACTTTGAAGTGAAAGTTGCGGGTCATTTGGATGAGACCTTAAATGACTGGCGTTGGCACGATAAAGATCCTTCACTACTCAATGGCCCTGAGTACAGAGTAAAGGTCAACATTTGAAGCCCTCCACCGGTAAATGGTGACGTCTCTATATGAATGAAAAATTCTCGAATGGGACGTAAAACAACATACAATCAATCAATCAATCCTAGCAAGAGTGCTCAGCTAAGCGATCTGGCCCGTGGGCCTCTTGTTTCATAATCAAATGCCAATTTTGTGATAATTTAAACCAAAATATATTTTTTCCCCCTCTTTTAAGTTCATCCAATCACTTTGGAAAACGCTGAAACAGCCATGGGATAAAATAATCCGTTTATCTATACTTAATATTATATAAAAATGTATTTGGAACACATCCACTAGAACCTTTCGTCTACAATGTCTTTTAGGTATTGATTAGATTGATTGATTGATTGATTGATTGTATGTTGTTTAACGTCCTATTCGAGAATTTTTCACTCATATAGAGACGTCACCATATACCGGTGAAGGGCTTCAAATTTTGATCTTTACTCGGCACTCAGGGCCATTGAGCAGTGAGGGAACTTTATCGTGCCAACGCCAGCCGTGACACGAGGCCTCGGTTTTTAAGGTCTCATCCGAAGGACCCGCAACTTTCACTTCAAAGTGCCGAGCGCATGGCGAAGGAACAGTGGCCACCCATTTTTTATCGACTTTGGTCAGTCGCGGCCGAGATTCGAACTCACGACCTCCCGGGTATGGATTAGGGTTTATTTCCAGGAATGTAAAAAACTTACCAGGGATAGTTCCAAAACAAACACTGTAATTTTACTGAAAGAGTATTAAGTTAGCAGATATTTTTTTTTAGGAATGACCACGTTTCTCTTTTAAGTAAGACTAGTAAAAATATAAAAGAACTAGTACATCCAAAGAACGATTGCAAACATGCAAGTACAATATTACCTCAAAGTGTACATATTATTTTTATACAATGAAATAATTCAATAGAATTTATATTGCATGGTCATTATTTTCTTTGTTTCCTGAGATAGTTCACCTAAAAATATCTGTTTCAAAATGTTGTAATGGATAAATTATTAGCAATCGTTGGCGAAAATAAGTAAGCAAATTAAATATCAGAAATTTATTTAGCCCAGCATGTTGACTATATTAAACCCCAATATCAAGCTATTTGCGCCCTTTAAAAAGGGTTCCTATCTCGAAATTCGAAAGTCTTTTGAAGAAAAGGAAGCATTATTAAATCTCCATAAAAAATCTTATGTGACAAGAATTAGACCCATTCACAGTTTAAACTCATCTATTAATCGTTGTAAAAAAAGAACAAGGCAAAAATCCAGATATGCATTAAGTCTATTTTTATAATTTTTATTTATTGAATGGAAAGCACAATATATTTGAACATTGTTAAATCACATAGTCCACATTTTTGTCTAAAGTCCCAAGACAACTATTCCCAACAGCAGATGCAAGGCATTCCAGAGTCGAAATTTCGAGATGCTTCCTAAAATATGAATATAAATATATATACCAATATATATTATTATGATAAATAGGATTCCGAAAATTTTTGAGAGAGAAAAAGAAAGAGAGTTGAGATATTAGCATTGTAATACATGTACATGAGTATTTATCTTTTCTTAGTATTGTCGCCGCAAATTCATCAAATAAAACGATGCTTCTTCTAAATAAATTGGATCAAATTCAAATGTAACGAATTCTTGGATTAGCAGATTAATTCATCTATTTTTGAATTAATAATGAATATTTTTAAATAACTTGTGGTCACCCATTTACAAACAACAAAAGCTTACTACGGTCATTATAGTTTTAAAGTTTTTGCAACAGTCAAAGTTATTTTTTTCCATGAAATTTACACGTTTATCTTAATTATTCCGATTCTTTTAGGTCATTTTTTCTCACGTCTAAATTCAAATATTAATTCCAAAGTTATCATTATTGATACGGAAAATGAGAGCTATTAGTGCTCTCTATACATGTATCACAAGAAGAACCCATGACTTCAAAGTAATTCAAAAACCATTCATTCATTCAAGTAAATTGGTACTTGGTACTCCTGAAAAGAGATCTTCGTGAGCGGATCTAAAGATCTGATTTAAAGAAGATTATTAAAGTTTCTTGGTAAATCAAATAGGCTATCAAAGTAGGAAGGTGTTCATTTCCTGTACATTAAGTGACAGGATTGACATTGGCTTAATATAAATGTTCTCCAGCGTCATACAACTGTAACATTAATGAAAAGGAAATCTTTACAGCACGTGTAATTGATTTTATCTATCTACATACTTATATGAAAAACCTCAAATAAATCTTTTGTTGTTTGTACTTGTCTGATTTCCTTTTGTGGACTTTTAGAGTGATATTTAAAATACATTGACACCATGGAAAATATAAACAGCAATATGACATCTACGTATATCTAACTTTTATGCCAATACAAAATATATTTAGTGAGCTGAAATATACAATAGAGTAACTTACAAAAATCATACACAAAGATAATCGTAATAATTTTCATCAATATTGTTATTTTAATGTGTTTCAATTAAAAAAAAAACAGTTACAATGAAATATGAATCAATCTTTACCAGATGATCCTGAAGTACACCTGCAAGAGTCCGCAAGAGCTTTCATAATGACATACCGGTCTGAACCTTTGATGGAATCTCCTTCATCACAAAATTCAATAACTCCGCGGAGACATGACACAAGAGTTTGCAATTCACTTAAAAAACAACAAACCAACAAAATATAAGAAGCAACATCTCGTCATAATCTGTGATCAATATTTTCTAAGATTTAAAAGACTGCACAGGTACAAATGCACTGTACAAAGATTGACAAGGAAAAATGAAAAGAAATGTAAAAAATGAATAGGAAAGTAAAAGAAAAAATCAGTCTGATTAAAGAAAATACCTCAGAGATACTAAAGGATTTAAGATTCTCCTAAAATGTTCTAGTTTACAGATTTAGGTTGATGAATTTTTTTACACGCACCATAGGACTTGGCACCCATGCAGAAGCTAGGGTTAAAATAGGAATACATGTGTGTGAGCAAAAGGTTTAACAAGCTTACTTAGTACATGGTTCAACTCTCCCCCCCCCCCTCAAAAAAAATCTAGTCAATAAATTCCCTTTTATTTGACCTTTAAATTACTAATCTTAAAATCAAAATTGAATCTTCTCTGCTGTATCCCTCTTAGCATTTCACATGTATATCTTAGATAACAATTTTTAAAATTATTACATGTAGAATCGGACTCACCTCTTAAGCTATTTGTTCCTTTTTCAATGAAATGATTCTTTTTTGACATTGAGAGTTAAAAGCTTTAGAGTCATATGGACATAAGTGGTGCTATGTTTGGAGCAGTTTTGTACGTGTGCTCAAAATGCTTATGGAACAGAGTATTGAAAAAAAAATCTTAAAGAACACAATAAATCTACGTTTTCTAGGAGCGTTTAGCAGTCAGTGCCTATAGCACAATTTCAAAACCAAAGACTGTTAAAGCAGTTTCAACATGTCCCTGTATTCAAGATGCTTCAAAGAAGAATTAAACTGTTTCCTATAAATATTTATGAATGAAGATGATAAGAGTAGGTTGACTATTTTGAACTTTTTAATGGATTGGGGGGGGGGGGGATACTAGTATGTTTCAGTAGAATAGCTGTCCGTCAGTCTTTGCCTAAATTCGTTCACTTTTATGATATTTTATATATATGTATAAAACTGTATATTAGATAAAAGTTTCTTTTCAAGTAGCCATTGTATGTTTTCATCTTATTTATATGATAAAAGAAGAAATCAAAAATCTTGAATTTACTGTAATATGATATAAGAAAATAGCTTTTTATTGCTTAATTTTCCGTTCTTGAGAGTTAAAAAGATTTGTTAAAAAAACAACTTTGTATGACAACATTAATACGCCTACCTGCAAACAAAAATCTTGTTACTTGGATCAGCAGTTACTCTTGAATTAAACCTCACAAAACAATAAGCGGCATTGGAACAATTCCTTCCTTTTAAAAGAATTTCACAAATTCTTATGTACAAAACTGTCTGTATAAAGTACTTCATATCGATAAGTTCATTGTTTCAATAATATCTTAAATAATTTGGAATGGTTTTCTTTAGAAAACAACGAATTCAAGCTTGCCTATCTCTGTTTTTCATAATAATATACAGATACATGTACGTACATGTACGAAAGCCTAGAAGGCTCAATCGATATATTTAGATTTTGAATCTCGAATGAGCCTTCTGGGCTTTCGTAGATACGCAATACTTGAATTGCTGTTTTCACTGGAGGGAGATGAACTTCCACAAGAAAATTCGATAAATAAATCAAACTTTCTACTTCTCGCAATTTTATAATTTGATCTCGAATTTTTTTTCGTGTTGATCAGTTTCTGAACTATTCAGATATTCACGCGATAAACTTTCAAGATTTCTTCCTCGCAAAGATTAGTGGTACCTGAAGGAAATTTAGTTTGCAGTATATGTTGAAATTGATTTGAGTCTCCCGTAAAGGGGGGCTAATAATGTTTGTTGATTTTTAAAGGAAAATTACCCATACATAGAGGGTGTTACCACTAATATATTAAGAAAAATTACCTGGTTGTATGGTAGGGTTGACAAATTCTGTCACTAACTGAGCGGTTGTTACTGAATAATAGTGAAAACAAAAATACTTAGCAAAATTGGAATTAAAATTAATCATGAACAAAATACATTGTACATTAATTAACACAAACATATTAGTATACAGGAAAGAAATGAAATAGAGTACTGGTAATAAAAATAATTCGGTTTTAATAGCTTATTAAAGTTAAATTCCAGATGGAATCATTATTATAGTATAAGTACATATGTACATGTACTTCAGGCCCGTAGGATGCAATTTCAGTTGGGGGGGGGGGGGTACAGCCATACATTTTTCAGTTGACAGTTGAGGGGGCACTGCCAAAAATTTCTTGACAAGCAATGAAAAAAAAGGTCATCAGACGTTTTTATTGAGGGGGCACAAGCATATAGTATCTATGTTTACCATAGTAATCTATACATCGGCAAAATTATTTGGGGGGGGGCACGCCCCTGTGCTCCCCCCCCGGTTCCTACGGCCATGTACTTAAAGTTTGAATGATTAATTGTGACTTGATTTAAACTTTTAATAGGGAGATGGGAAACGTTATAATAACTTCTGCATAATCCGTTTGCAATTATACATCAAAAGCAGGCCCGTAGGAAGCAATTTCACTTTGAGGGGGCACAACTATACATTTTCAGTTGGGGGGCTATCAACTACCTAAATTCCTTGACAAGCAAAAAAAATTTAAAGGTCATCAGACCTTTTTATTGAGAGGGCACAAGCATATAGTAGTTATGTTTTCTATAGTATATTATATATCGGCAAAATTATTGGGGGGGGGGAGGGAGCGTGCCCCCGCCCCCACCCCCGTTCCCACGGCCATGACAAGAACATATGTTCAAACCAAATTAGAATTACTATCAAATGATAGATGAGACTAGAAGAATTTTTTTAAAGTAAAGTTCACAAGTAATAAAAAATATGTAGAGAAATTTCTTTATTTCAATACTCTAGATGGATTTTTTTTTATCTTTGACAATGCGATGGTATTATGCACAAAATAAGCTGCGAGGAAAAATGGATTTATTAATAGTTTAGTTGCAGTGTTTGTTTAAAGGACGTTCGCAGCAAAAGTCCTTAGTAGAGTAAGTAAGTACGGAATTATTTGAAATGTAAAATCTGGAGCTTTACCTATAGCAAAACCCAAGTTAATGAAATGTATGGAGATATCGAACAGTATTCAAACTCAAAAGTCCATTAAACAATACAAATTTAGGAGCAGAGCAAACACGGGAGCAGAGCAAACACAGACCTCTAAATATCAGAAGTGGGATCAGGTGCCATGGAGGAGTGAGCATCCCCTGCCGACCGGTCACACCTGCCGTGTACTCCTTGTTATGATCGGGAAATAACGGGAAAAAAAGTCGACAATTCAGTGTGTAAATAATGGCCTAACAATAAGTATGAAAAACGTCAGTCAGCATTTTACTTTATGATAAATTGTATTTGCTGACATGGTCATTGTATCGACCATAGAACTTACGAAATAACGACTAATTAATTAACTAATTAGTTAATTGTTTCTAATAAGGCACTAATGTGAAAGTTATTTAAAAGAATTTTATACATTCAGCTGTTCATGGATTTAAGGTTCATCATGACTCTGATCACTGACATAAAATTTAACATATTATGAAAAAAATTTAATTTAAAGGACTATATTCGAAAATGGCCAATATTTGCCCCCAAAATCAAACTCGGACGGAGAAATCTATGATTGTGTTCTAAATCAGGGGAATATCTGTAGACTTCAAAGCATTAAAATATATTCATCACCAATTATGGCATATTTTAGTTTGACTTCAGGAAAGTGACGTAAATTCAAATTTTCCATGATTTATATAGAAAAAAGGTGTACATTACGTCGATATTTTGAGTAAAAGTCAGCGAGCTCACGTCTGCTCCAACGTAATGTTTTGATATAATATGTAGAATGTTAATATCAATGAAATATGTGAATATTTTAATGGAGCAGGTTTGCGCTCTATAAATTATATAATAAATTTGAACAAATTTTGTCCATTTTGTCCTCTTTCTGAAAAATCACACAAAATCCAAATAGTTTGTGACGTCAAAGAAACAAAAATTGCCAATAACTACTTCAAAACTATAATATTATTTGTAGATTCAGATTTTCATACAATATATACCATTCAACACATTTCAAGAAATTTTCAAAATTTGACTTTTATGGGGGCAAAAATATGCATATACATGTATCGCATGTAGCTCTTTAAATGCACACATTTTAACATACTTTGCTTGGCAAAATTTGACAGAAATGACATTATAATTTGACAATTTTATAAAATGATTAATAGTGATATATTTCAATAAGAGTTATCTCTCTTTTTTAAGGTTCAATGAACCTTAATTTTTTTCAAAGTGCTAGTAGCCCTACGTTTGTAGAGGTTTATTCTAAATTCAAATATTCTACACAGAATTTATGTTCTCACCTCCTTGTGTTGTGTTGGCACAGAGGACGCATTCTGGTAAACAGAAGAAGTAAAAATTATACGTGTATAAAATTACAATGATATTAGAACCAGTGATCAAACTCAAAAACGTAGTCAAGAATATGAATCGTAAACAAGACAAAAAATTGAAAAGAATTCATTTTATTACTGGCGTTAATTTTGTGCGTGTTTGCTTTTGCAAGATTTCAGGAAATCAAAATTGACACAAAATCATAGGTGCAAATTCGTTACTATTTCCGGATTTGCTCATGCATGCTTTTCTAGGTTAGACAACTATGAATAAAGTATCAAGTTTAATAATTTATGTCAAAAAATATCTTTAGTAACATTATTCAACTAATTACCCTGGTTGTTTTTAATAAAAATAAAAATTATGAGGTTAGATGCTCATGTTAGTTAGACAAATAATACCGATAAAGTTCTTACCTATAAATAAAAACGCTGTTAAGAAAATCCCTCCTGAAATCATAGCTGCTTGATGGCTTTTATCAATCGGAACTTTCTATTTAACCCGCAAAACGAACGATCGTAATAAAAAGGAAAATGAAAAAGGTTTCTGAATACTTTCCACAAAGATTCACAAAATCTTACTCGAAGTACGATGCTAAATACCTGAAAAGGTGGAATGGATAGAGGGGAAAACATTCAGGATACGAGGAGTATTTAGAGGATAGTCGAAAAAATACACGTACTTGTTTTGTGAAGGTTATCATGTACAAAGAAATGTTCTCTAGTACTCTTATTATGTTATGGGTGCGCTGATGTTGACTGTATATACCGGAAGAAATTACATGTATTTCTTTAAAAAGAAAAGAATGGGAGGTTTCTGCATATGTGTCGATGTCATTCAAGGCTCAAAGCCTAAAAGGAAGAAAGAAATGTTTATTTTGATTTTAAATTCTTATTTTTCAAAACAAATGTTTTCTGATACTTCAAAAGAATTTAAATTGAATTCTAGAAGAGTCCACTACACCTACTTCAAATGTCACAATATGAACGTGTTCTTGTAAAAGCATTAAAAGTACATAAGCCGATGCAAGGAAGATGCATTATGATTTTTTTTCGGGGGGGGGGGCTCAAAAAATCCCTCCAAAATATCAGTCATGCTTGTTATTACAGAGAAAAGGCATATTTTTTAATAAAAGTTTCCTTATTCTGCAAAAGAAATATCTAAAAATGAAAATTACCTCATTTTTTGGTGAATCTAGATGTTTTGAATATCATATTTACCTTCACTATGCATGACACAAGAGAGTACAATTAAACTGTACTATTTTAATCTCTTACATTTCTTTAAAGTTAAATATTATATGACATTGCAAACTACAGTTGATTCGAGACAATATGAGATCTGGTTTACATGCAAATCTGATTAAACTTTTCAACATCTAATTGAAATAAATAGTGCATTTTTTATATGTTCTTTCAATGACCCACTTTTAACCGAATCACAACCATTAGATCTTGAAAATATGAAAAAATACTTAAAGTGTTTTGTTATAAAGAGCTTCTCAACATCATCACAGTAAAATTATCGTTTGAAATCCTGAACAAATTTGCTATACACCGGTAATTCACCTGGTATACCATAACATGCTTGATATGTACTAAAATTTGAACGGAATATATCCTTTCGAAGGGACGGGAGGGGAAAATGTACTTTAAAAAACATTTTTTTGGTCAGTATCTTCAAATTAGACTGATTTTATTCAGGAAATACATTGTACATTGAAAACTTGTAAAGATATTTAGTATACTAATCAGTAATAAAAAAAAGTGATAATAAACCAAAGATTCGTCCTGGTATTTGATTATTAAGTGTCAAAGTCACTTAGGTCTTTCCAAAAAAGTCCTTAATTAATGCTTCTTTCGGAAGCATGTGTTTTTCAGCGAAGTATATCTAAAAAAAAATGAAAAAGATAGATAGAAAAGTATTTTAAGCAACTTCCGTCGCTTAGAGGCCACACCCTGCTCACAACATAAAATTGGAACTTTTCATAAAATCACCAAAAAATTAAGATAGCAAATGGGATTGTGTTTACTCAAACGTTTGATCAACATTTATTATCAGCTGTTTTTTGTGGAAAATGTTACTATTTGAAACAAAGTACTACAGGAATTCGTTATACGATCTCCTTTTACCCGCTTTTGACCATTTACTTGTCATGTCATATGTAGCACTGGATTATACATACAAGTTAGATGATAATGCTAAGTAAATCTTCCATTATCAATACCTCGAATTCACTTAAATCACCTGTAATAATTTGATTAGAAACGTGTGTGTCATAAATTCATTTGAAAAAACGTAAGTTCTTCTTTCACTGCACTTGTTTAACATGACAATATTGTTTTTATTTAAAAAAAACTTTTGCATGAAATTTGAAGATAACGAGCAGTAATCAAGCTCACAATACAAATTGGGAGCAGAGTAAACTCGGAACCTCTAAAAAAATATCAGAGGTAGGATCAGGCGCTATGGAGGAACAGGCATCCCCGGTCGACTGTCACACCCGCAATTTGCTCCTTGTCACGATCGGGTAAACGGAAAATTCCGTAGATAATTAAGTGTGAAAATAATGGTCTATCAATTTGTATAGGCAACGTCAATCAATATTAGACGTAACGATACATGTAGAGTGTATTTGCTAACAAGGTCATTGTATTGACCATAGAATTTGCATTTAGCGTTTATTTTAAACGAAACTGTTGATATCCTTGTATCACCAACTTATTTGTCAAATAGCTTGCTACGTTTTAGTTCGTAAGTAGAACATGCCCTTGCGTATCGATTCACCTGGGAGACATATACTCCGTATGCAGGTGATAATGAGATATTGCTACATAGATAAGGGAAATTGACAATAGAAAAGTTTAAGTCATCACATTTATCATAAAGCTTGTTTGAAATTAATATCTTTCTCTAGTAAAATGTCCAAATATAAAACAGATGTGTCAGACTCTTTGGTGTCTTTTGTTTTGAATTCAAAGGGATATATCGAATCAACGTAGGGATGAAAATGAATATTGTTAATTGATAAAAAGTCCTCTATATAAGTTTAAATGTCGAATTGAAGGCCACAGCAAGAGATTTCTTCATTTCATGTAGAAGTTTTTGAATAAGTTTTGCTTCATTTGCATTCAGTATAACTTTTTTATGGAATCCATTGGAAATCTACAACACTTAATCTCCTATGACACATAGGGAACCTTGTCACTACACGGTAGAATACATAGCAGGAACACCAAATGGTATATTATTTTGGCTTAATTTAATAAAAAACAATTACCCTATTAAATTATTATACAAATTTAACATTTGTACGTTTAAAATTATTTTGTTATTTTTTTCCCCCTCGCAATATTCATTCTCCACGTCACAACGGCTCTTACGTTTATTTAGCACACCAGTTGTATAAGAAAGTCGCTAAATTCATAATAAAAATTAATGAAATTAACAATAAAGGAGAGAAAATTAGAGAATGTAAATATTAGCATTGAATTCCAGGTGCTGTTATAGGACCGACGACATCCAAAAGAAAGAATTTATTGTTTAGATATGAATATCATTTAATTTCTATAAAATAAATGATTCTGATTGGATAAAAAATTCTTTTGATAACTGCATCAATAGAATTTGGAGTTCGCTTGCACTTTGCAACCGGAACTACTTGGTTGTCTTTACATGTATATTTCCCGCTTCAAGAAGTTCATGAAGGAACAATTAAATACTTTTTCTCTAACAGATATTTTCCTGAATTTCGAAACTTGTCCGTTACGTTCCTGACTTATTTTCTACTTTCGTTTCTTTTTGAATTATCCCCCTTTGCTAAACAAATCAGGTCGTCTGATGACAACAATACGGTAATGGGAAAGAAGGAAAGAAATCAGCACACCTATGTTAAATATTTGACTTTTAGATAACTGGTATGAACAATAGAACTGTGAAGAAATGTTTTTATGCTACCAAAGCGGGGAAATGTCGTTAATCTGTTAATTCTTAGGAATCGAATGATCGAGAAAAACGACATTGCATGAATGAGGACGGAATTCTTTCAATGTTAAACAGTAGGCAACAGACTCTTTCAGATTTTACAGCATGGACAGGTTGTGATACATATTTATATGTTCGGTTTGAAATTCAGATGATGAGATGCACAAATGAAATCCAAAATTTCTGTGACCTAGCTATAGAAAGAGTTGTTAGGATATCTGAGTAACATCCCTTTAAATTTACGAACCTAGATAGCTTACCGGGGAAAATATACCCATTGGGATATACCAAAAAATTAATAACACAACAGGTAAGTTTTTTTTTGTGTTAAAGAACTGTTAATTATTGTTAGAAAAGGTTGGTAGTGACACGACAATATTTGAGAACGTTGTTTCTTCGTTAGGCCTGTAGCCATTTTGAATTTCAGCAACATTGTTGTGATATATTCCTACGCATTGTTTTTGATGCGTAAATTTAATAGTAAACTGAAGGAAAGTTTCATTTTACTATTTCAAAATCATAATTAAATGATAAGAAATGAAAGTAATATTTTTAGCTCACCTGAGCCGAAGGCTCAAGTGAGCTTTTCTGATCACATTTTGTCCGTCGTCCGTCCGTCCGTCCGTCTGTCCCTCTGTCTGTCCGTCTGTCTGTCTGTCTGTCCGTCCGTCTGTAAACTTTTCACATTTTTGACTTCTTCTCAAGAACCACTGGGCCAATTTTGACCAAACTTGGTACAAAGCATCCTTGGGTGAAGGGGAATTTAAATTGTTAAAATGAAGGGCCAAGTCCCCTCACAAGGGGAGATAATCAAGAGAAGACAAAAATAGGGTGGGGTCATTAAAAAATCTTCTTCTCAAGAACCACAGGGCCAGTAAAGCTGAAACTTATATGGAAGCATCCTGGGGTAGTGTAGATTATAAATTGTTCAAATCATGACCCCAGGGGGTAGGGCGGGGCCACAATGTGGAATCAATGTTTTACATAGAAATATATAGGAAAAATCTTTAAAAATCTTCTTCTCAAGAACCACAGGGCCAGAAAAGCTGAAACTAATGTGGAAGCATCCTGGGGTAGTGTACATTCTAAATTTTTAAAATCATGACCCCCGGGGGTAGGGCGGGGCCACAATAGGGAATCCAAGTTTTACATTGAAATATATAGAAAAAATTTTTAAAAATCTTCTCAAGAACCATTGGGCCAGAAAAGCTGAAACTAATGTGGAAGCATCTTGGGGTAGTGTAGATTCTAAATTGTTAAAATCATGACCCCCGGGCGTAGGGCGGGGCCACAATAGGGAATCCAAGTTTAACATTGAAATATATAGAAAAAATCTTTAAAAATCTTCTTCTCAAGAACCACTGGGCCAGAAAAGCTGAAACTAATGTAGAAGTATCCTGGGGTAGTGTAGATTCTAAATTGTTAAAATCATGACCCCTGGGATAGGATGGGACCACAATAGGTGTATTACATGGGGGAAAGTCTGGTGAAGAACAGCAGGGCCAAAGTTACTCAGGTGAGCGTTGTTGCCCATGGGCCTCTTGTTTTCTTTGACCGACGTAAAATTTGCGTAGCGCATTGATGAAAACGTTTTCCGTCCAAATTTTAATTTATTGTTTAGATATGAATATAATCAGGTCTACTAATAACAGT